TGGCGGTCTAAACGCAAGGTGATTTCGCACAACTTTTCTCCAAGGAGGCTTGACGAGCAACACTTTCGAGTTCAAGAGGCAGAGTAAGCTACCAACGGCCGCCATATTATCTTTTCCAAGTTGTTCTTTCATGATTGCTAACATGTTTGGGAAAGGGCCACTGTCTTGATGACTCGCCTTCTAGACAAACCTGAGGGTTTCTTTAACGAGATCCGAAGATACACTGCCTCAGTGGTAACGTCCATCACATACGGGCTTAGAGCACCCGATATGAACTCTTTCTGGGGACATGTAAGTCATCCTGGCTAATACAACGACGATTCTTACTGCCCTTTTTCGTTGTGAGGTTGAGCTGATATCCCAAACTAGGGAGTCTACGATGTAATGGCAAAGGTACGATCAAGTTTACGTGGCACACAGGCAAGCTTTACTAGTACTGACGTAAATCATCAAAGTGGACAGCATCGATGGAACCTGGAGCCGCACCTCCAGTAGACGTCTTCACCTTCCTACGCTACATCCCCTCTTCAATGGCCTTCTGGAAACGCCGCGCAATCGACGCCGGCAAGACAATGGATGCGATCTGGTCCAAAGCGCGTCGACTCGTCGATGAGCGTCGCACGCGCGGAGAGAGACGGAACTGCATCATTGACGGCCTGCTTGACGAGTACGAAGAGAAGGGTTGGCCCGAACAGATCAGCCAGCATGCCTTTACCAACCTTATGGGGGAGATTATCGAGGGCGGCGCCGACACCACTGCCGCGCAACTTTTGACTCTGATTCTCGCTTTTGCGCTGCATCCCGAGGTTCAGAGGAAAGCGCAGGCTGAGATTGATGAGGCTTGTGGGAGTGACCGGTCTCCTCGCTGGGATGACTTTGCGAAGCTACCTTATGTGAACTGCATCGTTAAGGAGGGTATGCGCTGGCGTCCGGTGTGAGTCTTCTCCCTGCTTTGTCGTTTCGCTGGGAGTATTTGTAGAAATAACACATGCGGGAACATCTAGTGCTGTCACTGCTCTACCGCACAAAGTTCGCCAAGGTTCGTTCATGACGCCGGACGCTTTTCCTTCCAAGCGAGTACGATACTGATGAAAACGGGCCCACAGACGATGAATACAACGGCATGCTAATCCCCAAAGACTCAACAATCTTCATTCCGACTTGGGCCCTCCACCACACCGAAGAAAACTACCCCGACGCAGAGCGATTCGACCCGGACAGGTACCTGAAGCACCCCAAGCTAGCCAACGACTACGCCGGTAGCCCGGAGTGGGAGAACAGAGACCACTACAACTACGGCGCCGGCCGTCGCATCTGTCCCGGCATCCACCTCGCGGAGCGCAACATGTGGCGCATCGCCTCCAAGCTTCTTTGGGCTTTCGAGTTTGCTGAGCCTGTGGACCCTGTCTCGGGCAAGGTCGTGCCTTTGGACCCGCATGCGTATAATCCTGGAATTTTGCAGGCGCCTTTGGAGTTTAATGTTCGGATTACCCCGAGGAGTCGGGCTCATGTTGAAACGATCCGGCGGGAGTTCAAGGAGGCTGAGGCTTTGTTGGCTCAGTATGACTGAGCTGGTCATAAGAGACTCGAAATGACACTGTGTCTACTAGACTTGGCAGAGGACGCGGAAAGTAATCATAGTGTACAGGAACGTCAAATTTGAACTGCCATTCTTACATATTGTCACCACTTAATCTAGATGATCGTTTCTCTTCACTACTGTACTTCGAGTCATATCAGCGCTATTCCGCTGCCCTGCATCTCGCTCGTCTTTAGATGACGTATCAGTGAGTATAAAAACGTAGAATGTGATCGTGTAAGAATGAAATGAGACTCAACAGTTACAAGGATCACCTTCATCGACTGTCTGCGGCCAGCAATGGCCATAATGCTCGTTAAATGGGACCTCTTGTGATCGCCGTGAGAACTGAGTAGCAATTTCCGGCCCCTGGTTCTGATCCTCGGTCATCACTTTCGCTCCCCTATCAGACTATATTCCTTGGGGAATACGCTTTGAGAAGGAAGTAGACAGCCAAGATATAGTAAGGTAGAAATTTGCAAGTAGCCAAATCAGAGGCAGCACATGTCGTACGCCTTGAAGAATCCACTTAGCCGAAATCAGTTCACAATACGATGACCACAAGATGATGTCCGTCAGGAACCTCCTCGAGGAAGATTTAGGGTCTTCTCGTGGGACTCTAGAATACGGCGAGTGATGTATGAATAGGTCTGAAGTGTCTAACTCAAATATGTCTATGGCACTAAAACACCATCAATCATTGAGACGGAGCAGGATGGTCTTCATCACGAGCAGAAGCTTCTGAACGCACGTATCCAAATCCTCAGATACCTCACTCTGCCTCCACGCCACAAAGCGATCCGGCCGAACGAGAACAACACCCGACTCCTCGACCCCTCGAACGCGCTCCCATTCGTAGTAAACGTCCTCCCAGTCCTGGCGGAAACCAATGGACTGAACTCTGATCTCGCAACCCAGCTTCGCCGAAACCGCAGCAGCCGCTTCGCGCCAAAGACTTCCGCCGGGACCGGTGAAGATGGTAAAGCCACCCTTACCAGCCAGGTCAATAGTCGAAATAGGCTCCTTCGGCACCGCCCTATTTAACCAGACATGAGGGAGTCGGCGGCCAGGATACGTACCAGGTCCATAATACGCAACAAGATCCTCAGCTTCCTGCGAAGAAGGCGCATACGGCCCATCTTCACCCCCAGCATAGATCGCCGGCCCAGAATAGAGCTGATTCATCTCAATGCCAAGCCCATGGAACTCGTGCGCCGTTCGGCCAATAGCCTCGCGGAACGCGCGGCGCTTCTCCTGCCCCTCTCTCGTCGTATGCAAGAGCTGCGCAAAGACCGCAGCGCGTTCTTCCGCCGTATTCTCCAACATGCCCAGAGACTGCCACACGGCGTAGTGGTCGCGGAAGGCTTCGTTGGCGCGGGCCACGATCCCGAGACCGACGGGCTGCCGCTCGACGCTGTAGGTGTCGAGGAGGGCGGTGCCGGCGCAGCCCTTTTCGACGTGGGCGATTTTCCAGGCTAGGTTGAAGGCGTCTTGGATGCAGGTGTTTGAGCCGAGGCCGTTCATTGGAGGGTGGCGGTGGACTGCGTCGCCGAGGCAGAATCTGGTTTCTCGTTAGCTTTGTGCCATGGCGATGGATGTGTGAAGATGAAAGGTGGGCTGGGTGCTTGCTTACATGTTCCCATCTGAGTATCTCTCGGCAACAATATCGTTGACGAACCATTTTGAGACAGAGAGAACCTCGACTTCGGTATCGTCACCGATGAATTCTTTAATCCGCTGTTTGTACGCCGCTTCAGTGACCTCAGATGACGCATCGAAGTCCTTAGTCGGGAACAGGATGAACATCCACTCGAACCACGGCTTCACCATCCTCGCGATGCCCATCCAGCCGAAGCTGGGATGGTCTACCCCGGGCTGCATCAACCAGTGCAAGTTGCCCTTCCGGTGGTCCATCAGATGAGAGAGGTCGGCTTTGACCAGAACGTTGATGGCCAGGCCGCCGCCAGGTTTTGCGACCAGGGGTAGTTGGAGTGTCTTTGCAACAAGACTTCGAGCGCCGTCTGCGCCAAAGATGTATTTTGTCCGGATGGAATAGTGGGTTTTGGAGACCATGTCCCAGACCTTGGCTAGGTACCTCCCTTCGGGCGAGGATTCCTTACTCCAGGTTACGAGCTTGATGTTGAACCTCACGACGAAGCCGTGGTGTGCTGCGTATCGAACCAAGATTGGTTCTAATGCGGTTTGGGGTATGTCGACGGGGTTGCAGGGACTCGCGAGTTCGTAGTCACCCTAATATAAGGTGAGCTTCTGATGGTCTTTTTCCGGTAAGAATAAGAAGCGTGAATTGAGGGATAGTTACCTTTCTTCTGGGGTCGCTCCCCCATGAAGGGATACGCGCAAACTCCTCACCCGCCATGCTGTAACACCAACGCGTGTGTTGCATGCAGTGACCTTGCGTCGCAATCGCTTGAACTTCTCTATCCAACCCTATATCTCGGAGACACTCTGATGAAATGTTAGACTTCTGTATGTATATTGGAGAGAAGTAGCCGCATATCGGCTGAAGCTAGAACACACCTAGAGCTGCCATGTTTGTGATATGAGCCCGCGGGGTATCTGCGGTCGAGGGACTTGCGCTAATCATGATTCCCTTGAGTCCTAGGTCAAGATACAAATCAGCCTTGAGCTAACTCCATCAACAAATAAGCGCTCAGAACGAACCATACGATGCGAGGAAACATGCCAGTGAAGCCCCGGCGGGGCCTGCGCCGATGATGAGCATGTCAGTCTCGAGAACTGCGGTATCACCGCTGCCCTCATAAGATTGAGTATCTGCCTTTGGAGGCACCGGCGGCGGCGGATCACGACTCTCACCGGCCGGTGTTGATGCGATAGTTTCCGGCATCGTCATTTCAAAAGACCAAAAACGATGTTCAATTGTGAGTGATGTTTTCGCCTCTGTGAACAGCGACTATGTAAGTCGCGATAGCCAAAATATGACACAGGGATTCCCGCCTAAGAGATGTTTTCACGAACGGATGACAACGATCGAATTCCGTCATATACGAAAGAAGAACTTGATGGCTTATCTCGCAGCATCAAAGCGTCGTAAATCCGAATGGAACGATGCATGGTGAGTATCTCCGTTCCGCGGACAGATGCGACGGGCTATTATTCTGTGACTGCATTGTGTTGCGTCGGGGTAATTTTCTCCAAGACAGAGAGAGCCGGGCACGGTCTTTGACGACGCTGCTCCGGTCTACCTCGGATAGACACTGCGACAGTACAAACTTTTTTTATCAGAAAGCATGATAAAACTCGAACAGCTTGGACTTATATCCAAAATGCGAAGTTGTCAAGTGTTTCTTTGCTTCAAAGTGCCTTTTATGTGAATATCCGATTAGGTACAGGCTGTACACGCCGTCAGAGACCCAAACAAGCTCCAACTACAACAGCAAAGATGACCGCTCCCACCCGCAAAATCAACCTTGTCCGAATAGCACACATTAACTACACCTACCAAAATCTCGAACGAGCCGAAGCCTTCTTCCGAGACTTTGGCTTCGTAGAGGCCTCTCGCGAGGGCACCCGCATATACTACCGGGGCTACGGCCCGGAACCCTTCGTCCTCTGCGCCGAAGCCGGTGCCAAAGACGGCTTTGGCGGCGCGGCCTTTGTCGTAGAGTCCGAGGAGGATCTCATGTATGCTTTCAAGACGCTCCCCGGGGCTTCTGAGCCGTATGAGTTGAGCAAGACTCCTGGCGGGGGCCGGTGCGTCACGTTCGAGGGTGGTGTTGATAAGTTTCCCTTTCACCTGGTTTTCGGGCAGGTGATGCGGGAGAAGGCGACGGTCTTCCCGGAGCGAGACTTTAATTTCGTATGTATACACATGTTCCTGTTGTCATTCTTATCTTGTGATGGCGGAGCCATCTGGATGTCTGACTACAATGGCAGCCGACTGAGAAGCATAGAGAGGCGGGCACATTTCAGCGGTTTGATAAAGGTAAGTCGATTTATGAATCTTTGTTCCTTGAGCAAAACTTACTTAACTATAGGCCCGGCACCTGTGCACAAACTGGGACACTTTGGCGCATGCGTGACGGATTTCCAGAAAACATACGACTTCTTCACGACTCGATTCAACTTCATCCCCAGCGACGTGAGTCAAACACACTTCATCATTTTGCCCCTTCTGTCTCATCTCGAGACCGAAGAAAAGTAACTCATGAGAGAGTAGCTTGTACACGACGAAACCGGACGTAATGTCACAGTCTTCCTACGACTCGATCGCGGCGACGAACTGGTAGACCACCACTCCTTTTTCTTCTTTGAGGGCCCCAAATTCCACGTCCACCACGCCTCGTTTGAGACCCACGACTCGGATCTGCAGTTCCTCGGGCATGACTGGCTTCGTGAGCGGGGCTACGAAAATTGCTGGGGCGTTGGGCGGCATGTTATGGGAAGTCAAATATTTGACTATTGGTGAGTTTCCTTCCTTTTTGTCTTTTCCAACTGTTCATTTGAATAATTTCGGCACACTGGGTGGGGGTTAATTCCATCCGACTTACATGAGCCTTTTCTAGGTTCGATCCTAGTAAGTTCATCTTTGAGCACTACGTCGACGGCGATCAAATGAATAGTTCACACCCGCCGAACCATTCCAAGGCGTCTCCTGATAGCCTTCATATCTGGGGTGAGTTTCCCCTCCCACGGATGACTCTCAATGATTTAGGTCTGACTGAACGATTCTACCGCAGGGCCTGACCTCCCGGAGGGCTTCTTACTCTAAGACTTCTTGGATCAGCAAAGATTTGGACAGTAGAATGGAACGCTTAGAAGACAATTCCTTCGGTAGAGTGCACTTTTATTTAGACATAAGAGTTGCCGTGAAGTTCAATACACGGTCTTTACTAGAATACGTCTTCCTCAAACACTATAAACCCCGGTTTCATGGTATTGCGTAACCAGACACTTGGCCCAAAGTAGGTAGGCTTGATACACTGGAGTCATAGGCGAAGCTAAGCTCTCAGTTGGAAACACTTTGAAGAACGTATAATTGCCTACATATCTGTCATCGTGCTAGCTAGCTCAAGACAGCTTCTCAAGTGACAAGAGCATGTAACCAGGAAAAGTATTCCCGTAACATTCTTCATCGCGAGCGCCCGGGATCCTACTCGGCTGTAATTACGGCAAGGCTACTCAGTACCTCACCCCAAATGTTCCGTCCGGCTGGCTGCACGTTTCCCAGCGCATCGGACGGACTGATTTGGTGACTTAGTACACTGTTGGAGATAATCATGCCGAACCGCGGGGTAAACCCAAGACAGCAACAACTCCAAGAGCTTTCCCCCGCACTCATTGAGTGTTGAAATCTACCGCCCGAATGGGTAGCCGATGTGAAAATCTGAGAATGTGAGGCTTTAATATGTGAAGCAGGCCATGGTCTACATGGCAGGGTCTATCTCGAGGCAGAGAGGCTCCCGTCGACGTTAAACCCCATCTAACTTACACTTGAAACCTTTGAGCCGGAATGTCGTGCCCGTTGTTCTTCGTAGTTGCCCGTGTCGTCGGGTCAGACGGCTCCCTGGAAAAGGTACGAAACCTCAAACCTATCGAGTTGGACTCTCAAAGCCTCCAAAGCACTCTCATGCACCTACCTTGCATACAGCTAACCCCCTTAGTGGAAAGAAAGACTCATTGCCCTTTGCGCCGTCTCCGCAACTGAACCCCTAGGAAACAGCTACTACTGGGGCCACGACCTCTCCGCCTCCTCGCCAGACACCCTCTGGGGCCTTGAAGGGTACACACACCCGATGGGCTTCTTCCTCGGTCACACCTCGACCGACGTCTTCAAGCGCGAGATGCGCCTTGCAGACGAGCAGAAGCTGCTAAAGACCGTTCAGGGCATCGGCAGCCCGGACTACGATCTGCATCACTATGATTTGGCTGGCGGTTGGTTGAAGCGGGATGACGACCCCGGGCGAGATTCACGCGATAGCGCGGTTGCTGTTGTGCACTTTTGGGCAGCGGAGGAGGGGAGCAGGGAGGATGTTGTGAAGGGCTTGGAGGGGTTTGCGAAAGCGCAGAGGGAGAGGGTAATTGGGGAGGGGGAGTTGCAGAGTTGTGCTGTTTTGAGGGAGGTTATGGATAGGAGTTTGGTGACGTTGTGGCTACGGTACGTGAATTCTTTGCGAACGACACATCCAGAGAGCATTGGTTCCTGGACGGAGGTGGTATCGCTTCTCTTCTCGCTTCCTCCCTATCATACGACGCCGGGATATATGTTGCAAATGGCTAACACCTACCTTTCTTCTCGACGAAAATAGTGCAAAGACGAAGGAGCACCTCAGGTCTCAGTTGGAAACGAAAGAGTACAAAGCCCTGCTCGCGACTCTGCAGCCGTTGACTGTCCGGACGGAGACGCACCTGTCGCAAGTCTTCAACGGACATATTGATCAGCCACCAACAGGGACTAGAGTGTGAAAAGGGTCAAGTCGTCTTGAGTCACGAACTATGGTCAATCATCAACTCCTTGTTATAGAGTATCTGGGAAACATGGCAACCTCAAAGTTGAGGTACTAGAGTTGTCAATAATAAACATTATGGGGTATCAATTATGTTTCATTGTCTTAGCTCAAATGTCGCGCTCTCATGAACTTGGCTTCGGCTGGGGCTTGGCATAAGTCGCAGGATGCCCGTGCTTCTTGCCGTAATTCCTAATCTGTCGCAACATGTCGGGCAAGATAAAGATCCAAACCAAGGATGAGAGGCAGATGCCCAGCGTGTCGACAACCCAGTTGTTGCGCAGGGAACCGCCGAGACCGCTCCACCTCATCAAGCTGCCCAGCCACGCCACCGTGACAAAGTAATCCCCGCGCTCGAGTCCCTTGATGGCGGCCCTGGCAACCTCGTCGGGCGACTGGACGGGGTCGAGCTCCTCGAGCTGGTGCGTGATCTGGGGCTTGGTCAAGTTCTCCTTCTCCAGGCCGGGGCTCGTGATGGTCCCGGGGAAGACGACGTGGACCTTGACGTTTTGCGGGTAGAGCTCGACTTCCTGCGAGAGGGTGTCGGCCAGGCCGCGAATGGCCCACTTGGAGCCGGCGTAGGGGGCGTAACCCGCGACGGTGAAGAAGGCGACGACGCTGGTGGTCATGATGAGGTGTCGCGGCTCGGCCTCAACGGGGGCCTCGGGGGCGAGCCAGACGCGGAGGATGGCGTGGGCCATCTCGGCGGTGCCATAGAAGTTGACGTCCATGTTCCTGCGGGTCTCGGAGAAGGGCACTTCGGTGAAGAAGCCGGTGGAGGCCATGCCGGCGATGCACCAGACAACGTCCGGGCTGCGGCCACCATTCCAGGCGGAGGCCTCGGCGAGAAGGGGCGTGGCGTAGTCTTCCTTTGTGATGTCGGCGGTGATGTAGGTGAAACGCTGGGTGGACGGGTTCTTGGCGGCGGCCTTGCACTCGGCGAGGAGCTCTTGAAGGCGGGCGGCGTTACGGGCGATGAGGATGAGATTCGCGCCCTTTGCAGCGAGTTGGAGGGCGACGCTGCGGCCCATGCCCTCGGAGGCGCCGGTCAAGAGGACAGTCTGGGGAAGAGTGCGGGTGAGTATGCGTGTGTGAATACAAGGGGGCAATACAAGGAATTGAGCTTACCTTGCCATCTACGGGCATGTGATTCTTCCAGTTGAACAGACCCATTGCAGATGCGAGAATAGCTGCTGCGAGGGCGGGCAGGGCGATCCAGAGAGCTTGCGACGTGTATTCCATGCCTCTCGAGTTGGGAGAGAAGATGATACAGCGCAATTGAAAAGGGGGAGAGAGAGGGGGCCGTCGTGGTTGTGATGCGGCTTTGTCGGCGATGAGCTGCTCGAGACACGCGAGGCGTCGTGGGAGGAGTAGCTTTCGTACCTTGGGTGAGTTATTCGTAGACACGGTCCAGTAAGGTGCCTGGGTGCGCACAACCATTAGGACCCAGGACCCTGTCGTTCCTGGTGGGGTAAATTGTACCTTCAAGTGGCTGCTGACGGCGCTTGTCTAGATGAAATGGTAATATGACAGGTTGATCAGCTTGGGTTAGTCCTGATGAGTTCAATCTCGATTTACCTACTGCGTATAGCAGTGCTGGCATTTTCGAAAGCCTATTGGTTTCTATATACTGTTCATTTCTGCCGCGCAACAAGGTGCCCAGGTCCAACGGCTCTGTAGGTATCAACTTGAACTCGGAATATTGACCCAGTTTGCGCCGCTTAGAAAGTACCGAGTTTGTAACTGTGAAGTAGTCTTAGATCCTTCATATCTCGACTAATCAGCTTGAGACTAACCTCTTTTTGCTCTGGGAAAGTGACGTATCTCAGAGATCCGAACTAAGATATCTTTTCCAACTTTTCAATTGAAGAGAGCAAATGATGTGCTGGACATGCCAATAATTGAGTGAGTGACATGTTGCTGACTTGCATCGATTTGACCGTGGACGACCGAGTGTGGACCCCACCGTTAGGTTGAGGCTCAAGACCAATGAGAACCATCCCTGTCAATCCATCTCCACTAAAAAGTTCTGCGTTTGACGGACGCAAGAACATTTTTCGTAGTCGTCAAAGTGCGGCAAGAGATCACGCCCCATCCAACGCCCGACTCTCACCACCGAATTCGACTTTCGTCCAACCCTTCCACCCTACAGTTGGACCCCAGATCTGTGCGGTCAAATCAGTCGCTCACTATGGCGAAGAAGAGAAAGGCCTCTGGCCAAAATGAGCGCACCGGCCCCAAGGACTTCGACCCCGCCGATGCCCGTCTGGGCCCCATCACCAGCTACGAAGATGTCGCCGATTCAGAAGACGAATACTTCCTGAACCGCGACAAGATCATGTTCGACGAGGGTCCCAAGTCCAAAAGGAGGAGGAAAGCCGACGAGGAGGACAAATTCCTGGAACACTCGGACGAGGAAATCCTGGATCTCGATGACGGCGACGATTCCGACGAGGAGACCAAGAAGCCCGCCCGGAAATCCAAGAAGGGTAAGGCTGCTGCCGCCGAGGAGGAGGAGGAGGGTGAGGAAGGGGGCGAAGGCGCGGAGGACGAGAACGATCCGAACTGGTGGGGTTCCTCGAAGAAGGAGTACTACAATGCCGACCAAATCGAGACCGAGGCCGATGCGCTCGAGGAGGAGGCCGAGGCCAAGCGCCTGCAGCAGAAGAAGTTGGCCAAGATGTCCGAGGAGGATTTCCTCTTCGACGAGGGCGAATGGCTGGCAGCCGCCGAGGAGGATGAAGAGGACCAGGACGTTGTCACAGAGGTTCTCAAGGACGTTGAGATCACTGACGACATGGGTCCCGAACAGCGCACAAAGATCCTCCAGAGCAGATACCCCGAGTTTGAGCACCTGGTGAACGAGTTCCAGACCCTGCAACCGCAATTGGCCATCCTGCAGAAAGACGCCCACGGCAAGTCGAGTCAATCGCTCGAGGCCGTGAAGTACTGGATCCTCGGCTGCTACGTCGCCGCACTAGCAAGTTACTTCGCTATCCTCACATCACCGGCACGCGACGGGTCAACAGCCCAAAAGACGCTCGACCCCGCCGAACTCCGCGACCACGACGTCATGGAGACGCTGCTAGAGTGTCGCGACGCGTGGCAACAGGTCAAGAACGCCGCGCTGGTACGGCCCGACGACTCCATGGAGGTCTCCTCCGCCGAGGAAGATATCAGCGCCGTGGCCGCCGGCGACGCAGACGAAGACGCCTTCGCCGCGGCGAGGGAGGAGATCAGGAGACAGCGGAGACTTGAGAAGGCGGCCAAGTCCAAGAACAAGCAGGCGCAGAAGAAGGCCGCCGCCATCGAGGAGTCGCTCGCCGATCTCAACGACCTGCTCAAGCAGTCCAAGAAGAGCAGCAAGAAGACCAAGAAGGCTGCCAAGGCTACGGAGGAGGGCGATAACTCCGACTTTGGCGAGGAGGAGGTCCTCGACGCCCGGACGGCCGCAGACAAGGCTGCCCGCAAGAAGAGTCTGCGCTTCTACACCTCGCAAATCGTCCAAAAGGCCAACAAGCGCGCCGACGCCGGCGCCGCGGCTGGTGGCGACGCGGATATCCCCTACCGCGAGCGTCTCCGCGACCGCCAGGCCCGCCTCAACCGCGAAGCCGAGTCCCGCGGCCAGAAGTTTGGTGCCGACCTCGGCGACGGCGACAGCGACGACGACAACGAGGGCAAGACGGCGGCGGCGCTGCGCGAGGAAGGAGACGACGAGTACTACGACATGGTGGCCGCCTCCTCCAAGAAGAAGAAGGCTGACAAGGCGGCCTACAGCGCGGCGCTGGCGGCGGCCAGCAAGGCGGACCGCATTGTGGAGCAGGAGATTGTCGGGGAGGACGGCAAGCGCAAGATCACGTACGCGATCGAAAAGAACAAGGGCCTGACGCCGAAGCGCAAGAAGGAGAACCGCAACCCGCGCGTCAAGAAGAGGATGAAGTACGAGGAGAAGCAGAAGAAGTTGAGGAGCATGAAGGCCGTGTACAAGGGAGGCGAGCCCAAGGGCGGCTACGGTGGTGAGATGTCTGGTATTACGACAGGCATTGTCAGAGCGAGAAAATTGTAGAGTTACGTTGTCGTCGGTGCTCTCACGTAATACAATTGGATTTCCAAAGTTTTCAAAATCGAAGCGCTTGTCTCACGATGTGCTGTGATGTACACAGAGTACCTATTTGCATCGATATGTGGTCGGGAGTGGTTCAATGTGAGGGAGGGAGACTAGCTAGCACTGTAAGTAAGATTGGTTTGTTAGCTGGGGTAAATTGCAGGGTCCCAAAGCTCGAGAAAGCTAGCCCCACCAAATTCCATTCCATCTGGCCAGAACAGCTTCGACATCCAAGCTCCAGCTTCCAACTACACATCTACAATTGCCAACCAAAGGCAGGCGCAAGACCAGCGCAAAGGCCTCACGAACGTCCAAAATCAACAGAGAGAACATTCGCCAGCGAAGAAACCTCAATGAATCCGACGACCCACCGATAACGAACTCACCCACCCGCCCCATCCGAAACCATAGTCCAAGAGCCCAGCACCACCCAAAATGGCGACCCCCGACCTCTCAACCCTCACCTCCTCCGCCCAAGTCTTCTCCTCAACCTACACCCTCCCGCAGATCCGCGGCATTCACAGAGCCCTTCATGTTGAAATCGACGAAAAGGCGAGCCGCCTGCGCACCCAGGTCGGCAGCTCCTACCGCGACCTCCTCGGCACCGCCGACACAATCGTCCAGATGCGCAAGGACAACGACGCTGTGCAGAACGTACTCGGCGGCATGGGCGGTCGCTGCGGCCGTGGCGTCGTCGGAAAGAAGGTGACGGGCCTGGGCGGGTTCGAGAAGAGCGCGAGGGAGCTGGGCGGCAGCGGCGGGGCTATCGGCGTGGTTGCCAGGGCGAGGCTGCTCGAGGCCTGCGGGCTCGTCGTTGGACGCGTGCTCCGGGGCTCTGGGGCCGCTGGTGTTGGGAGCCAGGATTGGAGTAAGGGTGATAGGGTTGTGCTTGCCAGCAAGGTGCTGGTACTCAGTCGGCTTCTGGTGAAGAGCCTAGAGGCGGAGAAGGGGGCGCTGCGTCTTGAAGGCGACGTCGGACACACGGTCGAGACCGCGAAGAAGAGCCTGGGTGGACTGAGGAGGAGACTTTTGCGAAATATCGAAACCCTGCTGGAGCGGACGGGCGAGTCCGTCAAGCAGCAGGACGTCCTCAAGGCGCTCTGCGCGTACAGCCTGGCCACCAGCTCCGGCGCACGCGACGTCGTCAACCACTTCCTGCGCGTTCGCGGCGCCGCCATGGCCCTGGCCTTCGACGTCGAAGACAACAAGGAGCGGCAGAGGAGCACGGCGGACGTGCTCAAGAGCCTGACGCTGTACACCAAGACGCTGCTCGACGTGCAGGCCCTCGTGCCGTTCAAGCTGTCCGACGCGCTGTCGAACCTCAAAACGAGCCCCTTGCTGGCGGACGCGACGCTCAAGACGCTCGAGTGCCTGCGCCTCGACGTCTACGAGCGGTGGTGCGGCGAGGAGATCCAGTTTTTCACGCCCTTTGTGCGGCACGACGACCTCGACGGCCCGCAGGCGCGCGACATGCTCTTCAGCTGGGCGAAGCGTGGCGGGGAGGTCCTCGTCGACGGGCTCAGGAAGACGATGGAGCGCATGACGGAGTTCAAGGCCATCACGGAGCTGCGGACGAGCGTGCTGCAGCTCTGGATCCGCGAGGGCGGCAAGGCGCGCGGGTTCGATCCCTCGGAGATGCTCGACGAGCTGCGCGTCGCCGTCAACGGGCACATGCTCCGCGTCGTCGAGACCAAAGTCAACAAGCTGCACCTCGTTGGGTCCGAGGTGTCGGCGACGCTGGACTCGTGGCAGGACGGCGTGACGGACGAAGGGGTCGATTTGTGGAACGTGCGCGGGTTCGATATCGACCTGATCCACGGCGCGGACCATTTCCTTCAGGAGCTCGTCGCGCGGCTGCACGGCCGCAACGACGCCGTGTCCAAGGCCGTCAGCGGGTTCCAGTCATGGCGGCACATCATTGACGAGGTGGGCGAGGTGGTGGAGCAGCTCAAGCGGCAGCGGTGGGACAACGACATTGACGAGATTGAGGACGAGGAGACGATCGAGGCGAGACAGCAGCTTCTCAGCAGAGAGGACCCGCGGACGCTGCACGAGAAGCTCGACGCGACGCTGGTCAAGGCCTTTGCGGACTTGGACGGGAAGCTCGCGGCTCTCTGGCGGTCTAGGGAGGGTGCGCAGAATAGCGGTAGGGTGGCCATGTACCTCCTCCGCATCCTGCGCGACGTGCGTGAGGGTCTGCCGAAGCTGGACGCTGTCAAGCGGTTCGGGCTGGAGGTCGTCCCGTCGCTGCACGAACGGCTTGCTACCACCGTAGCCGCGCAGCCATTAGAAACATTCAAGGGCAGGGCGCTCACGCAAAAGACTGTTGTTGGGCGGCCGCTGTGGGAGGGGAGTCCCGAGCTGCCTACGCAGCCTTCGCCTAGGGTGTTCCAGTTCCTGCGGGACGTGTCGACGGAGATGGGCGATGCGGGTATGGATCTCTGGAGCGCGGTGGCCGTGGGCGTGATCAAGCGGCATCTCGGGACGCGGCTGGGCGAGATGTGGCTTGGGGCCTTGGAGGCGTACCTCGCGGAGGATGTCACCAAGGGCGCCTCTGATGCGCAGCCGGATGATGCTGTCAAGAACTCGAAAGAAGATAAAAGCGAAGACAAGGAGGTCGAGGGGTCTGATACAGAGAAGCAGGAAGACACCAAGGACGAGGAAAAGTCAGAAGATTCAAACGCAGAAGACAAAGAAGAGAAGGAGAAAGAAGCATCAAAACAGGAACCAGAGACCGCCGAATCTGCAGCAAAGGCACCGGCAAAGGTGGACGATGGCCTCGCCCAGCAGCGCCGCGATCTCCTCATCCAATGGCTCTACGACGTGTCCTTCCTCCGCTGCTACCTCGATGCACCCGCGGCAAGCCAAAACAACAACCTCGCGAGCCTGGAGGACAAGATCTTCAAACACACTGGCTTGGACGGCGACGGGGCGCGCCAGCGGATAGACAAGTCGTCGCAGGAGTACCACAAGAAGACGAGCCTGCTTTTTGGTCTCTTGTGAAGTTGAGAAGTTGTATATAGATACCCCACGAATAGATCATGGATGAAATTCCATCATATGTCGAGTCTGAAAGTGGTCCATGACGTGGTGAAGAATGTGTACTATATCTTTCTCTCTTCGGACGATCTATACATCTGGTGACATTCACCGCACCTAGAGCTCTATACCATCCCCCTTACAACTTATGCCTCTTCTCACCACTCGCAATCTTCCTAAACTCCTCCTGCGGAATCCCCCTCATAAACCTCTCCAACCCAGCAAACACCTCCTGCGAATTCTGCTTATCCATCGCATCCATATCCGGCCGTCTAATCAGCGCCTTAATCCCCGTCAAACTATCCCCAATCAAATGCTCCCCCAACCTCTCATCAACCTCTTTCAGGACCAACTCTCTGAATTTCGCATCCTCCCCCTTCCCCGTCTCAAACACCTTATTCACAAACCCGGTATGCAGCAGCTCCTCCGCCGAAATCCGCTTACTCATAATCAGCGCCTCGTTGGCCTTGGAGATGCCCAGCCTCTGCACCAGCGCGCGGGAGGCGCCGCCTTCGGCTACGAGACCCAGAGACGAGAAGGGGGTGAGGAGGAAGGTGGAGGGCGTGGCGTAGATGAAGTCTGCAAAGGAGACGAGGGCGGCGGAGAGGCCTATGACGGGCCCGTTGAGGCCGACGACGAGGATTTTGGGGTGGGTGTAGAAGGCTTGGGTGATGTTTAGGTTGAAGGCGACGAAGGATTGCAGCCAGTGTTTGTGGGCTTCTGGGCCTGAGGGAGACGCGCGGGCGATGCTTACGTCGGCGCCGCTGTGGTTGATTCAGTCAGTATTCATTCAGATCATTCTTTGTTGGGCGGGCTTGTGATTTCATCTTCTCATCCAGTTGATGCGCTGGGCTTGGAGGTATGAATGGGCTGTTTGAACAGCGTGAGTTGCTCGTGAGAGTTTGTTGGGGGGGTCGCAGCCGCGGTATGAGATTAAGCCGAGGTCCAATTCACCATGGCTTGACAAAAGGTGCAAGCACCGCAGTAAAGAATGATGTGAGAGACTCACGCAGAAAAGTAGCGTCCCTTGGCCGTGAGGACGGTGACGAAAACCTCGTCGTGCAGGGCAATCTCGCGGAGCTTCTGGGCGAGGTCGTAGTACTGCGGCTGCGCGAGGGCGTTGAGCTTGCGGTCGTTGTCGATTGTGAGCAGCGCGACGCGGCCGCGGTACTCGAGGGAGATGACGGAGTCCTCGGGGCTTGCCATTGTGATGTGATGCGACGTGTCTGTGTAGGGAGCTGAGATTGTATGGCTTATATGTGTCCTTTTCTTTGAAGCAATTGGAGCTGGTCCTATCTTTGTGAGTATGGACTTGAAGTGATGAGATATTGTTGAAGGTGTCACTTGAGAATCGTAATCCAGGATAGGTGAGCTAGGGGGGTGGCAGGTTGTCGGGTTTATCAAACGTCGAGTTGGCCACTGGGCCAGGGTGGGAAGGTCCTGGCTACCTTACCCCGGACCCCACACTGCACCGAGATGCCTCGGCAGGTCGGGGTGGCATTGCGGGGTGCTAGCGCTCATGGTCCATTGCACCCAACATCAACACATCGATAATTCATTACACAGCTCTCACCAGATTTACATCTCAGTTTCGATTGTCATAGTCTTTGTCGTATAATTCAAATTTTTAGACTCCGGGCCCTATGCAGCGTAGCGTTTTGTGATTATACGCCCATCTACTTTTGAAAGTATCGCGTACGTAAGGTATGTATGTGTATCGTCATGAGCGTCAGCAGCAGCAGACACTCATCGTCTTTGTAAATATTCCCTGGCCTGCCGCCTCCGGGAACCTCAAAGGTGAGGAATAATCCCCTTCTCAACCTCGCCACAATGCCATAGAGACACCAACCGGCGAGTCGCTTCACATCCGTCTGCAAATAGTCAAACCGATCTGACCCTAATCGCCTCGCGAAGCCGCCTCCTCTCCGGCGTCCTCGGCTCGTCGCCGTCGCCCGCTTCACCACCCTAACGGCGTTTCGGCGCGACAGATCGGAGCTTGGGGAAGTTGAGCGGCAGGGCGAGCTTGGCCACGTGCGGGGCCTTGACGCCCTTCTCCTTGGAGGCGCCCTGCCTGACCTTGGCGCCAATCTCGAAAAAGTAGTTATTCATATCCTTCTGGTCGAGGCGCAGGTCCTCACGCAGCTTGGACGTCTCCACCTCAAAGTTGTCAATGATACACGCGACCGCGCAGCAGTGCGTGATGAGCAGGTCCATGTGGAACTTGCGCATCTCGCCGCCGTCGGAAAATTTGCGCCGGATATGCTCGATGACCACCTGCGGCGCCGGCTCCATGCGCTCCTTGAGCTTATCCCGGGGCGGTATGCGCTTCGTGCCGCGCTGCTTGCCCGGTGTCGCCATGGTGTAGAATGTGAAGAGGAAGTAAAAGTAGCGCAGGAGGCGCATCTTGGTGACGTTGCCCGAGTCGGCAATCTTCTTGACGCGGCCTGCCACGTGCCTAGAGTAGCAGAGAATCTCCTCGCCCTTCTTTGCCGGATCGATCCAGTCCTTGACGGGGATTGCCGCCAGGATCTCGCGGCCGATGAACTCGTCGGGGTCGTAGACGTCCTGGATCGCTTCCGCTTCGAGGTTGGGCCTGGGTACGGGCTTGGCTTCGTCGACGACGGCCTGCAGCTGCTCGCGCGATGCCATTGTCGCGGTGACGCCGCCAATCTCTTGCAGGATCGCCTTTGCTGCCGTGTCGAGCTTCTCGGGCGCACTGTCTCTTGTTTTGCTGGGGGCGATGGCGTTGAGAGCGACCGACTCGATGGCCTTCTTTGCCTTCTTCGTACCAAACGTCTGACCGAGGTCCTTCTTGAGATCGTAAAAGCTCTGCTTGGCGTCAGTGATTGTCTTGCAAGGAATCTTGTGTGGCGCAATTGGGTATACCTGGTAATCTGCCGGCGCTGTCATGGCCTCTTCTGACGCATGCTTTGCTCTGGCCACACCACGAACCACCATCTTCTTCGCCTCCACCACTTGAAGCTTGCCGGTCTCGGGATCGTAAATGCCGACGTAGTGCTTCAAGGCCTGCTGACTGTCGCTGATACCATCCTCTCTCGCTGTATAGTCCATCGTCTGGTGGGTGGTGGAGTGCAGAACGAGATCCTGCGACACTGCGGGGGTTTTTGATCGTCGCTTGACGGATGAGGCATCTTGCTTGACATATGGGTTGAATTGCACACCCTTCGCTAACCGAATACCGGGAGACGAAGCTTCGATATGTTAGCGATCGTCTGCGACTACAATTGAGAGGCTGACGGAGCCCAGATCGTCCGTACCTAGTACTGGCGGGCAGAGCTGAGGTCTCTGGAATGAAGAAACGACAACTGTGGAAGGCTCGGTGGCCTGCTTCTTCTTGGACTTGGATGAACCGTCGAGGTCGCGCTTTCTCTTTCGTGCACTTGCGTCCGCCATGTTTGCGTCGGTGGTCTGAGGTTTGTGCCAGGCCCGGGTGGTGATCTGCCGTTAGTGGGATGGCGACGGCCTTTGGAAATATTTTCTGTAGGGGTCCTGGGCCAGAGACAGACTGAGGTGGAGGGAAGAAAAAAAACAGTCGGCAAACCGGCGTTGGATTGTCCCCAAGAGGCAGGCGGTGTGCAGCCTAGCGGCAAGTGTGTGGAAGCGCCTACTGCAGACGACCCCACTCGAGCTGGGTCGACAAAACGTCACAGCTCGGCTGTCGCACTCGGAACTGATGAAATTGAAGAAATTGGGTGCGCTGGACTTATTAGACGCCGCAATTGATGCATCGCGATTCATAAAACCAAAGGCTAGGTTATTCAGTTCACAGTCGCTCAGTGGAATCTTTGGTTTTTGGAGTTTTTAATTCACTTTTTGATTTTGTGAGGAAGCAAGTATCTGCCTTTCAATTGTCATGCAAGTCCTGATCCCAGTTCCAAATCCGCGTTGCGTCAAGACATCATGCTTCCTGCGGCTTTGTTCCATAAACACCGCATCCTCATCATATCGTCATCTCGACCGATCATATTGTCGGGTTTTCCATTCTTCGTCGAATTCTCGATGCGTCTCCAGACATGCGCGCCGTTCAAATCATGACCCCAAGTCCCGTAGTTCCAATCCGTAGTGTGAATGTAGAAGTCTCGAACGAGCCGAGACAGACTGAGTCGCTGGTGACGAATGCTAGCTGTGGCATATCCGTTTTTGCGAGTCGCGTGAGTTGTTGTTTGCCGTCATCTCAAAAGATGGTCAGGTCGAGGGGAGGGGGGCGAGTTGTTTATTTGCTGCGATTCTATTAGACCACGATTCGCGCATCAATGATATCGGTTGGTAGAACTTACGAGCGAGCCCTCATCTTTCTTCTCTTACGCTTGAGACGACGCACGCGCTTCTTTCTCCACTTAGCTCTCATCTTGAATGACGAAGCTACGATATGTTAGTGATTGGTTCGCAGCGCGCGCAAATATCAACCCTGCCAATTGCTTGCCGGAAGCTTTCCAATCCCGCAAGGGATTGGCGCTGACGACATCGCGATGGACGTGGCGGGCAGGGGAGGGAACGCTGTACTTACTCTTCCTTGGTGAGAGATGTTGGTGATGAAACTTCCTTCCTCCAGCTGTCACGCGCCTGGAGGGGAAGTTTTAGTGGTTGAGCTCCGTAGGGCAGCCAACCCTACTACCGCATTACATAATCCACACAGACCCCACACTCCCACCTAAAGCTTCTCGTCCCTCACCAAAGTGTTGGAACGTCAAGGGCACGGCAGGCACGAAAGATAGGTACCTTCAATTGGCGTGACCTCACTGGCCCTTCTACCCTGAGCTCACTGACAAGCACTCCAGGTCCACTGCTCCGTTCATCCCGTCCTCAGCTCCAATCTCGCCCCGCACCGGATCAACACCGGCATTTATGTACCTACCGAGGCGGGCCAACCGGGTTCCACTCTAGTCCGTAGTGGGGCAAGCTCCGGAACCAGGTGTATCGGCAGCGCTTGAGTCCGCATCCGCCCTTGAATCGACTTGCGCGCGGGGAAAACCAGATCACATAAGGATTGCTTAACTTCTGTTCTCAGATCATACCCGTATCCCGAGTCTTGTGAGATAGCCTTTCTGGAGTCACTTCAAGTGAAGACAAGACCAAGAGAACCAAACCACTAGTGCGGTCTACGGGTGGTGCTCTCCGTGCAGACCTTTGTTTTGCATTGTGAACACTGAATTGTATATGCTCCCGTTCCTTTGTGGACTGCGCATCTTGCCATCGTAAATCTTCAACACAGGTAGTATTACACATGCAACGGGACTTCATCCTTACTGGTAATCGCTATGTCCCTTGGGCTCAACACCAGACATCTTGTCCGAACCGCCCTTCTTCTTCTCACCCGTCTTGCCTTCACTACTCTTCCCTCCCTTAGCCTCACCACCAGCAGCGCCCCCGTCCTCAAATCCAACAACCTCAATCGTCGTAGTGACATTGCCCCTCGTAGCCCGACTATACGGACAAACCTCCTCCGCCCTCTCCACAACCTTGTGCACCTCCTCGTCGCTCAGACCCTTGACCCGAACCTTCAAATTTACTCTGAGTCCCATATCAAGCTTCTTCATATCACCGACCAGATGCACAGTCGCATCCACGACACTATCCTCGGGCTTCTTCGGCATTGTTACCCCCAGGCTCGCCGCCGAGGCGTTCATGGCGCTCTGGAAGCAGGCGCCGTAGCCGGCGGCGAAGAGCTCTTCGGGGTTGGTTTTGCCCTTATCGCCTGCGCCGCCTAGGGCTTTGGCCATGGTCAGGTCGACGACGAGGTCGTCGCCTTGGACGTGGCCTGTTCGTGCGCCGACGACTTTGGCGTGGGCGGAGTAGAGGACGGGTGCGGTTTCTGTGTTGAGGAGGCGGGTTTGTTGGTGTGCTAGTGGTGTGATGCGGGTTGCAGGACCGCGAGAGAGGATTTGCGGTGCGCGCTGCGCGAGTCTGAGGGAGCGAATTGAGGCCGACATTTTTTTTTTGGCGGATCGTGGTCTATCGACTGCTTAGAATTACAGAATTTTCAATAAGAAGGATGAAGGAAATAGAACTGAGATGAATTGAGTAATGTGATTGGGATTGGAACAGAGGGAGCTCCAGAGCTTTGCAAGCTTCCTTTGTTGACCTTATAGCTTCTCGCGTTTGGAGCTTAGCTCTGGATCGTCTTGAGAATGTACCGGTCACCGGTGACGTATTGGATAAGGCACCGTAGAGCACCTCAAGCCCCCTCGGACCACAAAGTCCTGCAGCTGACTCATCCAAGGCATTCTAACAAGAGAAATGCGATTGACAAACATGGACGTTTTCTACTTAGTATTCAAGGTAGTGCGATGTTTGTTTCCGGTCACGCCAAGTAAGGTAATCAAGACCCATCTGTTGCCCGAGCTATCACAATCGAGTAAGGTACTTGCCAATTTTCGAGAAAAGACGAGGTTCTAACGCAACATCGAATATTGACGAAAGTCATGTAGAAATAGTTTTTCAATAGAGTGATCGGACAAGTTCCTTTACAACTTTGTTGGCGTACAGGGACATCATTCTTTCCATCTTCACTGAGTGCATCTCTCATAGGCTCATTTCACTGTATATCCCGAGTCTGTCGCCTCGTTCACCAAGCAATGGAGACGAAGGAAGAAATAGGAAGTAATAGAATGATGCATCCAAGAACATGACGTATCTTTCCCAAAAGTTCACTATCTTGTCGCGTCCCAATCGTTACCAGCAAATGCTTTCCTCAACCGTGCCCTTATCAGATGCCATCTTCGTGTAATCTCGATTCATCTAGAGCTTCGCTTCATGCAGAACGTGACCTTTGTGACTCTATTCAAAACAACAACAACAACAAAACAAATTACTATCACGCTTCTTCACCCAAAGTGAGCATTGCCTCCCGCGGCCCTCCAGGAGGAAACACCAACGGCCGCAGCGCCGGATACGCCTTGTCGTCCTCATCCACCAACAGCGGCTCAAGCAACCCCATGACCTGCTCCCCCGACCGCGCATCCCGCGCCGTCAGCTTCTCCAGATCCCTCACCACGACGGCCCTCTCCTCCTTTGTCAACGGCCGCCTCCGCTCCCTCTCCACCGCCTCGGCAACCTTGCCCTGCAACCTCCCGCCCATTGTTGTCGCCTTCTCGTCAGCAAACGCAACCAGATTCCCCCTCCGCACGACCAGCACCCGGTCAACGAAATCCACCTCGTCGATCCACTCGGCCACGCTCATCAACCCCCCGTACGAATCATCGTGGATCTTGACCGGCGTAAGCCGGATCGGCAGACCACCCGCCGGCCCGGCCTCAGGCAACCTCTCGTGAAACCGGTGCAGGATGCCCAACCTGCTCAGCGCCGCCGGCACAGCCATGACGACAACTTCGACGCGATAACCCCCCGCTCCCAATGCGCGCGCCAGCTCGCGGAAATCGTCCGGGTGCCGGCACGCGCTCTCGAGAAGCACGTCGAGCCTCCGGTCCACGGCCTCGGCGACGGCCATGGCCAGCCACCTCCGGGCGTCGGCGCCCGTAGCCGGGCTCGCGAGGGCGGCCTGCGACGGGTCCTTGGCTTCGACGAGCGCAGCGTAGGATGGGTGGTGAGCCTTGTAGAGGTCGGCGATGAGGTGGGCGGGCGGGTGGATGTGGGTCATGGCGTCGAGCACGGCGGGCGCCAAGCGGGTTTTGCCGGCGCCGGTCTGGCCGACAATCAGCACGGCCAGGGGCCGGGACCGGCGGGGGTGCGGGGTGAGGGTCGCGGGGAGGTCGGCGGGGAGGATCTTGTTGGCGAAGATCTCCCGTGCCTCTGCGACTGGGAGGACGTAGCGGGATAGATCTGGCGGTGGTGGCATCGTTTCTGCTTGTGGTTTTGTGGAGAGCTTTGTGAAGTGGGTTGCCAAAGAAAAAAGTAAAATTGTAATTACTGATCCCTCGGGGAGTTCTTTTGGGTACCGAGTCTACCTTATCTAACAAGTTTCCCAAGAAAAAAACCTCCCCCGAGTCTTGGGTATAATTTTTTTCTTCTTGAGAGGGGAGGTGAGGAGAAGCGGGAAAGAAAAAAACAGGTGACTCCAAGTGTTTAACATGCAAAGGCGGAGTCTAAACGCGGAACTCAGGCGCACAAGTGTCTTGTGCCATAAATCCGGCATACCCGGGGAAACCGGAAGGAAACAAACAGCCAAAGTCCGCTCGTCTTTGCCCTGCCCATCTCGCAAAAGTATAAATTCGCCCATCCTTGGCGAAGCGAAGGCGGGGGGAGGGAGCTGAGCGAGTCAAGGGGCCTGGAAAGTGGTTGCTCTTTGACATGAACCTATCGCCCTCCAGTCACCCCCGCGCGCCCGAGCAGTGTGATGGGATCATGGGGAGCGCTTTCGGCTTCCCTGATTTCCATTCTCCCCCCCGCGGTAACTAGGCCTCCACAAACCGATAAACCCTTGACCGACCCAATCACGGCTCTCAGCGTCGAGCCGACCAGCGGCAAAGAACTTGTGGACTCGTAGGGTTTTGTTTCTTTGGTAACTTTGACTTCACATCCATCCCCCGGGAGGTCTTGGTTGGCACCCTTACCTTGCCTAGTACATTGCTTGGTAAGGTACTAATGTAAAAACTAAGGTTGAGCAATGAGCGGCCCGGGAACGGGCGCGTCGTGACGGGATGCCAGATATAGTAGAACTGCGATCAGAGTCGCATTCATTCTTGTTTCCCGTGGACGAGATTTGTCAGAAATAGCTAGTTACTTTTACCCCCGACTATGCCGGCACTGAGTTGCATTACGTTGGTGCCCGACCCGAGGTTCTGGTACAGAAAGTTTGACAACCCACCCCGGGCAGCCCCGGGCATTGCCCCGGCGCAGCGCCGCCGAGCCCCCCCTGCAGATCCTTCATCGTTCGGATTCCGTCATCGGGAATCCTGATCGGATCTCGCTTGTTTACCAATTCGGGCCACCCGCCCCGCGATGCATGCGGCGGCGCGGAACTCCCCTTTCGGCTTTCGGCTTTGATTTGAATCCTGACCCCCATGACAACAAGCTTTCTGGTACTAAACGCGTGATGCTATCGAGGATGACTTGCCGTGCCTTTTAAGTTACGAATAAAACTAGTACGATGCGGGAACCAATACGTGGGAGATTATTACTTTCTTAGGTAAGGCGTGTTGAACATGGTGTTCTCGTTTGATGGAGAGGGGAAGAAGGTGACCTTGCACAAGACGTCGAACCTTGCTGGTTGGGAACTTTTGCGGCGGTCTGGCACATCGGTCCATTCATCCCTCTCACCGTTTGCCACGCAAAGATCATGTCATGTTTACCTTCTTTCGCAGATAAGAAAAGAAGATGCACTATTCTAGCACTGAGCTTTGTTACGCTCTGGTCGAGGAACAAACGCATTATGGTCTTATTCAAATCTTAGTAGAGAAAGAGCTTACTGCCCTCGATTGTTTCACAGACGTCACGGAGAATATTCCAAAGCAAGTTCGTCAACTCAAACGATGACACCAGGCTTCAAGTAGAACACCGCCGCACTATTTCCTGTCAGCACGCATCTTCGAATTTCACCCTGTGTCGACAAACTTGAACTAGCCTGAGCAAGTGCCTCAATCTTCTCGACAGGTCTTTGGGTTGAAACAAGAGCTGGTGGAGGGGCGGCGGCAGGTAGGTGGTCGTACAGACCAAGACGATACTGGCCATAATGATATCCAGATTCAACGACAGCAGGAGGCCTACACTCAACCTCAAACCCCAACCGCAGACCACGACAACAATGACGACGGCGACGACGAGACGCAACAAGACGGCATCCTCGCCACGACAGGAGACCCAGAGGAGCAAGACGATCAACAAGCCAAAGGTAGGGACATAGTAGGAGACTACATGGCACGCATTTTCTCGCCACCGGGAGAGACCACCTTTGCCACTGCGACTGGAGCCAAGCCGAGATGCGAACGCTCGTGGACCTGCGCTCGCAGGGGCGTGGAATGGCAGCTCATCAGCGCGCAGATGGGGGAAGGGCAGGATATTGGTAAAGGCTTTGCGTGCAAAGTCCTGGCGGCTGACGAGGGACGATCCGCACGAGACCTTGGGAGAAGAGTGGTGGCAAAGGGCGTGGTCAGAGGAGGTAGACGCGAAGGCGGCAGCAGCAGAGATCAAGGCAAGGTAGGTAAGGTCCACGGTAAGAAGGCATTAGGAAGTGAATGTGACACACACACACACACACACACACACACACACACACACACACACACACACACACATACACACACACACACACACACACACACATACACACAACTCGTATGAGAGTTTGAATTATTATTATTTTGCCTTGTATAGAGAAGCAGATTGGGAATTCCGTATTTGAGCTAGAAGATCGCGGCGATTAAAACTCTCCCCGGCACACCTAAGGTGCAGGCATGTCTTCGTGAACTTGCTTGGCTCATAGTACAGTATCGAGATGTCTAGGCGGCCACCCGCAGCTTCCAACCAGCGCGACTCCCCAAAAGTTGGCCGATAATCTCAAATACGCTAATGATTGGGGCCATGCGCTTCAAAGTCAAGACTATCAGGGCGAGAGGGGACAATCTACCCAAGGTAGATTATGTTGCGTCATCCTACCTTGGAGAGGCAAAAATGTATCAGATAACATGTATGAAATCTAGCATCTTCTCAATGCACCCGAAAAGCCACATCTTTGCTCGACTGTGTTCTTAGCCCCTGTCATTACAGAGAGCATTGATGTTTCTTCAGGCTGAGCCAGACAGCGTCGAATCCACGGCACCGAGCTGTACTTGGACGATTCAATGGCAGGCAAATTTTCTCAATATTGACGACTATAAAGCAAAGACCAAATTGTCTCCGCCAGCAGTACTTCAAAAGGTATCCATCATCCTTCATGTTCCAACGGACGGCCATGCTCGCCCGTTGCCGTCCCTCGATAGACCTCCTAACCTAGTGAGAAGAACTCAGTGAAAGCCAAGCTGCAATGCCGGTTCAAGGTCCTGTGATTGCCCTTCCTTGCACTCGTGCGGACTCCAGAAACAACAAAATTGTTTGGCCACACCGCCAGTGAGCTTCGCAGCCTCAGATTCCCAACGCCAATGAGATGAGGTATGAGTGAAAGACAAAAAACCCGTGTGAATCCCAAGTAATGCCGAATTCCCATTCCCCCAACGCCGATGTATGAAAAGTGATGCGAGGTATTCCGGCCTGTGACACCCGCTGCAATATGAGTATCGGGTCCACCATTGTTGGCCAAGGTTCCTCGGTATCGAATGAAGCAATAGTTCGTAGCCGCGAGGCTGTTGCTTTTTGGTTTTTTTGCGTTTTGTTTTCTAGTGAAATAAGAGCGATGCTCTCCTTATCGATTTCCTGCGCCTTACGACGCGTGCGATGGCACGCTGCGAGGCGTCACATCTCCGCTACGTCTACGGCCTTGGAGCTGCGCGGCCTGCTGCGACCTCGATGCCTCTGCAATCATGGCCATCTTTTTGCGGACAGTTGAGAGACGTGCAGTAATCATTTGAATCACTGTCCAAATGTTAGTGCCATGAGAAAATGTGGATAGAGCTGCTCATCACTTACTCCGATTCACGGCCAGCTGGTCGTCGCTGTCCAGATCGCTCGAGGTCTCCTCGCGAGGCAACTCCTTGCCTGAGCTGGAGTAGCGCCGCTTTACTGCATCTTCGTCATTGTCCAGGACAGCCTCCAGCATTCTTATTGCCGTGACATAGTACGTAACGCAACCCTCAAGGTTCTCGTTGGTAATTTCATCAATAGCGGCTGTTCTGCTCATCTCGATGGCCCGATCATACATCAACTTCTCCGCACTAATGCCTGGCGTGAGGTAGACATCGGGAGTGCTCGACGTAGCTGACGAAGCCGAGACTCCGCCGTGGTTGCTCGGGTGGCTGGGATGGTCCTCAGGAAGCTTTTGCTGAACGGCAATGAGTTTCATCCGGACAACCTCGGTCTTCTCCAAGACTTCGTTGAAGCGAGTCCGAACCCATTGCACGGTGGAGTTGATGCGCTGAGCAAGGCCCTCTTTGGAAACTTCTGCAGCAGATGTTGTATCGCCACGCGTCTTTTGTGACCACCATAGGCTTGCAGCGTCCATGGCTCTAGCTAGCAGCGTCAGAGCCTTGACGTACAGGACCAGAGCCTCCTCAGACAAGGAAACCTCGGCATCGATTGTGAGGCCATCCTCATCTCCAGTGATTTGATCAGTCGGCGTACCACCAAGTCCGTGCTCCATTGATGGGGCGAGAGGGAAAAGCTGCTTGTACTTGACTTCGGCAAACCCATAGACGCAGTCACTTCGGTGAGCGAAATCCTGAATCAGCTTGACAGCGCGCGCATCCTCGTCGGCCGGTGCATTTTGCTTTCCATCGCCAATGAGGCCGACGGGACCCGAAGGGGTAGGGTACGCAGGGAATGGGCTGTATAGGGGAGGAGACGCCCCCTTTCCGCCCAGCACATGCTGCGGTACCTTGAATCCGAACAACCGTACGCTGGCGTCTGAAATGGCTTTGGCGATGAAGCCTTGAGTCGTCGGGCTGGCGGAGAAATTCTTCCCGTCGTACGAATCGCGGCTCTCATGACCGGGACGTGCCTTGCCTGAAGCGATTTGAACTGCATTAGATGGCTGGACTCGGCCGGCGCCGGTCGTCGAGGTAGGCGGTCCCTGTTGAGTGGCTCGGCGGATCATCTGGCCAGTCTTTGGTGAGAGTGACGTGAGACGTGGGTTAGCGGCCATTTCATCAGCAAACGCGTTTACCTCAACGTGCTTCTTTTCGACCACAACATAATCTCGCTCAAATGCCACATCTTGTGCCGCCTTCTCCTGTTCGGTGACACTTCGCTCGGTGACTGGACGAAGTCTGTTCCTTGCCGGATTATCGTTCAGGTACGATGTCGGCGGGGAGGCAGAAGCTCGTGCAGAAGGCCGGTTGAGAGCCGCATTCGAGAGTCTGTGAGGTCGGGCTGGTGCGGAGGTGGAGGGTTGAGCCATAGGTGGACGACGAATTCCGAGTCCCTCCCCTACTTCTTGGCCCGGAGACTGGCCTGAACGTGGCGCAGCATCAACAGCCTGCTGGGCTCGCCCTTCGATGGGACTGGGTAACTTCGGCGATCTCAGAGGCTTCTCACGAGGCGATTTTGCTGGCTCGCCTTGCTCACGTACAGGCTCGTTCTCTGTTTGCCGGCGAAGGGAGAGCCGGCGTGATAATGATGATGTGGAATCGGACCTGCCGAGAGATCGCAGATCACGCGAGGCCTTTGCCTCAGGCTTCGGCGGTGCATCATCTTCAACAGTGCCTGGAATGGGTTCTGTCAAGATTGGATCGTTGAAAAAGTCTTCGAATCTCATGCGTTCGACCGGGTTGCGAGTCAGAAGCTTGCCGATGAGCTTGACCAGCTCTTTACTGACCACGAGCTCCTTCGGGTACTTAACCCGATCTTCGGCAGCTTCGATCTTTCGCAAGAGCTCTACGTGATTTCGGGCGCGGAATGGCGGACGACCAGTAATCATCTCGTATAACACCGTGCCTACAGACCACAGGTCGGCCTTCGCGTCGTATCGTTCATAGCGAAGGATCTCTGGAGCCATGTAGAGGGGAGAGCCGCACAGAGTATCGGCGAGCGACGTTGACGGGAGAACACGAGCGAAGCCGAAATCTGCGAGCTTCAGCATCGGAAGAGAAGCGAGACCGGCATTGGGAATAAGTGAATCCTGGCTGGCGGTCAAAATCGGGCGGGAGTGTGCCTCCCTGAACCGTGGTGATGGTAGGAGCAAGAGGTTCTGAGGCTTGACATCGCGGTGAACGTAGTTCTTCTCTCGGAGGAATTTGAGAGCGCTGCCGAGCTGTTGGAGGAAATGGCGTGTGACAACCTCATGAAGACCCGAATTAGGGGTAACGGGGTACTTCCTCGCCATCTCGTGTGTTGCAGGGTTGGTGCTCAGCTTGTCCCTCTTCTTGATGAACAACGACAGATCACCAAGCTCACAGTATTCCATCACCAGATTGATATGTGTCGCTGATTCGACGCAGTCATGGAGGGCAACGATGTGCGGGTGGCGAAGAGTCTTGAGGATCTGAATCTCTCCATACAAATTCTCTCGTAGCTTGTTGTTCAAGCGCCCCATTTCTACTGACTTGATAGCGACGGTTGCCTTGGAGCTCTGTCAAAGAGAATTAGCACATTTGGAGCAACACAACACAAGCCAAAGTTGAGTCACAGCACTTGAGAAAATCAGGAGGAACAACAGATGGTAATACATGTAACAGGCCTCAAGGAATACACCACGGACAGGGGAGTTCGCGAACCTTGTGGTGACCGCTGTACACCTGGGCAAAGCTGCCCTTGCCGATTTCGCCTCCGATAACAAAGTCTCCGATAGAAGCGTCGCCTTCGCGTCGCCTGCGTCCTGAAGAGGACGAGGTGGGTAACCGCTCCGCCATATTGATCGCCTGTAATGCTGCTTGTGTGGATGCGAGTTCGGGGGCAGCGTTCAGTTCAGGCCTTTGGCCTATGCTATTCGAAAGACGTCGGCCGAATGGGGTGTCATGTACACGATCGAAGTTGGGGAGATGGTCGTTGTGATGGTTTTGTTTGGTAGATTTGGCGGAAGAAAGGTACGCCGAGAGAGAAGCAAGAGAAGATCAGGCAGAACCTCGAGCAGCAGCCAGAACCCTGGTGTCGATGGTTTGAAAGGTAGGGGACTGTAGAGGCAGCGACAGGCAGCTATCCGATAGGTCGGAGTGCACGCGGACCAGGTTGATGCAGAAGGGAAGGACCGTCGTAGCGTCCGTGGGTGGGTGCAGGATTGTGTCGACGAAGCGACCGGCAACGAAGCGAAAGTCGAAGAAGGTAAAGAAGGGCAAGGATGGACTTATTCGGGGGGTCGTGGTGATCGAGCGGTGATCGGAGTGGGAGTTGGAGGAGGAGGGAGGCGCTGGAAGTATCGAGAGAGATGTGACTAATACGGGTGGACGGTGAGCGTTAGGAAGCAAGCCAAGGAGAAGGTACCAGGCCGTTTGAGGCTCTCTGGGAGTATATCGGAGAGTTTGGAGCAAGTTCGGAGGGGAAAGGTACCTTTTTCAGAACAAGAGTCAGGCAAAATCCAAGGTCAAGCTAATGACTCGGAGCTACCAAGGACGTGACGTTGTGAGGTACTCGAGAGGTACCCTGATGGAGCGAGGTGTGTGTGTGTGAGAGAGAGAGGCGGTTATGGGCGAAGTAAACGGCGGTACAAAAGGGCAGGCGATGGGATGGTGTTAGATGTTGGTGGTATGCGCACAAAGGGCTTCGCGAGGAGCAACAACCGGGAGGGGGGCAGAGACGTCGAGGGATGTCGTGAATGTGGTGAGTAGGGGGTGGTAGGAGGTGGAAAAAGAGAATAGTCAAAGGATAAGGTCGAGCGAAGTTGGCGAAGGGAAGAGAGACGTGAGTGAGAGGAGTGGCGGGCGGTCAGGATGGGATGGGCAGGCGATGTAGAAGAAGGTCAAGGGACGCGCCGAGAGAGGGTTGAGTGACAGACCTGGAGCCAGCCGGGCAGCACAGGACGGGAGTGAGTGACGAAGGGTGGATGGGGCGCAGAGTGGATAAGACCTACTGATTAGATAGGGAGGTGCAGGGGAAGGTCCAATTGTTGATTGCGATAAAGGGCGCCTGGAGGTCTGGTGCCAGGTGAGACCGTGAGAGGTACCTTGTCTACCTAGGTACCCCATACCTTTCCAGGTTGGCCGCCGTAACAGCCCTTTTTACTGTCACTGGGCTGTCTACAGTCAAAGTTCCTCTCTTGATGTACGTTAGCGTGGGTACCGTAGGGTAGTAGATCGGGACTGGAGGAAGCAAGCAGCGGCGCAGCAGTACCTAGCGCCAGATGCGACGGGAGCCCAGTGTGAGTGACTGTCCCGTCAGTGGAAAGGACGTGAGTCTACAAAGTACTGCCGTATGGTGGTGAATCCGAATGAATCGGAGCCGGCATGGACTGAGGACTCAGGACTCAGGACTGCGGCCTGCGGCTTGCCGTGTGCGAAGCGAAGCGAAGCGATGCGCTGCGTTACCCTGGCGGTGGTTGCTCTTGATACATATGCAGTCGGGTAGGTATTCCTGTGGGATATGGATACACTGCAGGCGGGAGTACATCCTTTTGTTACTTTTGATGGTTGGAGATCAAGGTGACAGGGCACAGGAAACCGGGGAGGGCAAGGCAAGTTATGGATGGGATGGGTCTGGACTGGCACACTGGGCTACGAACGAAAGGGATGGATGCCTCGATGATGGGTTTGGGGGTGGTGCTTGGGATGCTTGGTCTTCTCCTGATTCGGGATGTTGATGAAGACGGGGGCGGTGGATTGGTGGATTGATGGTTTATTGGGTTTGGGTGAATGTGCTGTGATGCTGCGGGTAGGACAGCATGGAGTGGCGGCAGCTGTGCTCCCTCTGTGTCTCTCAGTCTATCCTTTCCCATTCTCTCCTGTGTTTCCGAGTCTCTCTCTTTTTCGCTCACACTCACACTGTGAGTTACAACCACGATCACGACGTGCCCCAGTCTGACCGACCAAGACAGATAGATCCAGGTGGCCAGGGTTGATGTCGATGATGTAGTGTGTCTATCTGCCTGACCAGGGGGGGCGCAAGAGAGAGGCGGAGAAGTCGCATATAGGGAGGGCACTTGTATCCGTCTCTCCAAATTCATTTTCATGATTGTAGTGTATAATGCGTCAGAGGACGACAGTCATTTGTCCAAGGCACAACTCCTCCAACAAGAAAAGACGACGATCCTCCTTGTCCTTGACTCGTTATTGTTGTTGGACTTTAGAGGGGGCAAGTGACCAGAGAAACGTGAGCTTTGCCTAGGCGACCCTTGGGTTTGGGGGCTCGTGATGCTCTGCGCTGCGCTGCCCTGTGGAGCTTTTTCCCCAATTGTGCGAGTGCTCGGGGTGAGGAGTCACTGGAGGGAGTGTCACGATGCGGTACGTACCCAGCTATATGCCGTTCCGGAACAGCCAATGCAGGTGCATCGCAACCACCCCCGCTCGTATCCTCGTGGTCACTGGTCAGGGGTCCTTTTGGTGCTGCGTGGTGGTGGGACGGGGGTCTTATTGGAGAGGGATACCTTGCCTGTACCAGCCCGGTGTCGGTCACGCACATCTGCCCTTTACTCTTCAGCCTTTAGTGCTTCACAATCCATTTTCCCTGCAAGACTTTTCACCATTTGGCATTTGGATTCTTTCGTTAAGGCTTCTCATTATTGAGTCCTTGGGTCTTTGGCTACTGCGTACGGTACGGATACATAGTAGGTATTTACATGCTTGCGTGAGGGCCGAGTATGGGTATCAGCTACGTACCTCACTGTCGCACTCAAATGCCATCATGGCGCGATAAGGCTCATGTATCGCGATAAGACGCACGGTTCGGCAAGGTGCCTGGGTACGTACTTCAAGTTAGAGGTTAGCGCACCAATCCGTCCACCGCCCACCACCACCGCCTTCCTCTTCCTGCACCCCTTCGTTGTCGTCCTCGTCTTCGTCCTCATCCTCGCAGGCTCGCGCCCTTCCTTCTCATCTCCCCCGGACCAGCACGCCTTATCTATGAGTCTTGTCATCTTTGATTAGACTAGCGGCTGCGGCTGCGGCGACATACGGATACATCTTGGGATCGCCATGATACGACGTCCGGGGTGACAGAAAATAGGGTATTCTGTTTCGGCGTTTGCATCTCGTCTGCATTCCTCCCAAGTTTCCCCCCCACGGCTCGTCTCGTCCAGACCTCCAGCTTCCCAGAATTGTCTCCACTCGCCGAACTCGCCTAACTTCCGTGTCTGGCAAAGCGCAGAGACAACGCAGCCAGCTCCAACCTCTTGGGTACATACAATGTCACCACTCACCACTCACCAGTGTGGGTGTCAAGGGCTCAAGTTCATCGTCGTCCATTCCTAGGCTCCATTACCCCAGGCCTTAGCCGCAGACTTGCTTTTCTGCCTCGGCGGCTGCAGTTCCCATTGCGACTGGGAAGCAAAGCATGCGCAACGCCTGTATCCGTAATCGACTCCGTCCAGATATACAGGGAGAGCACGGTCATCCTTTCACGGTCGATAATACGGAGGACCTGTACTCTTACCCTCGGCTGTGCTCGAGGACGAAAGAGCCTGAGGCACAATACAGAGTACTTTTGGAGGTGTTGCCTGAGGAAACTGTTTGTGGTCAACTCAACTGTCATGAATCCTTGACTTTGACTCCAATACCAAAACAAGCACCTTTCAAGAGTCAAGGGGTCCAAGGCCGAGGCCCTGCTCCTCATCGTCACGCCGCGTTGCCATGGACCACCCTTCATCAATATCAAACCTCCCATGCATTGCAGAGCATGTCGCTAATTCAATAGACGGGCGACGGGCGGTGAGTGAACGACAAGGCATCGACAAGGTGAGGAGACTAGCTGGTGTAAGCTCACCGAGTCCACCTCTCTCAACCACCTCAACAGACACGGAGACGTTCATTGCCTCCGAAGCCGTAGCTTTCACTGTGCAGCACGATACACTTTAGCTGCTGGAACACCTTGCGCCTGCCCGCTCGTCCCTGCTACTGGATTTCATCACCACCTCGTCAGGTCTTCGTGGAACAAGGTTCCCAATAATAACGGCCACTCTTCCGTCCAATCCACGCCTCCAACCCGGCCTGGTCTCCTCACTTCTTACATTTTGTTACCACCTTTGGCCCGACTCCAGCGAACCCTTTGTCAGTCTCTCCCCTGCAACAGCATACTTGCGATGGAACCCTATCCACCTGGCTTTACCTTACAGTGTGAACGGAGCACGGCAAACCCCCAACTAAGGAACGCTGCTAAGGTACCTAGCTGCCTGCAATCCACCTTTGGAGCATTCCATCCGCCCTTCCAGATGCACGCCAGAACACCCGGACCGCATGAAAAACATGCCCACCGTCCCAGAGTCCCAGACCTCTCTGAGTTGTTTCGACACGTCAGTTACGCTGTGTTTCGGCCTACCTCTCGGCCTACCAAAGTATCCAGGTCACCTAAGGTACCTTTCCGACATACATACACCGCTGCCCTCGGAATACGATTGATCACCCTTTGGGGCCATACACTAGCAACCTTGAACCGGCACCAAAGTGGACTCCAGGGACCGATGGGCCTTGCATCAGATCTGTTCCGCTGGACCACCAGAACCCACAGAGCATCTAGGTTTCCGAAAACCACCCTGATAGACGGCAACTGCCTATCCGCAATCTCCCTAGCAGCAGCAGCGGCGGCAGCAGCAGCAGCAAACACATGTCTGCATCTCGTTATCTCATGTGAAAATCACCAGCCACGCCAGCGGTTAGACTAGCCAGCTATCAACCACCGTTGAAACGAACCATTTCTAAGCAGGTCAACTGATTCAGGCATCCCGAGAGTGCTCAAAGCTATTCTCTTCCTCTGGCTTCAAGCCTTGACGGTAGGTACTGACGGAACCGTTCTGTTTCCTCATTCCAGCGAGCCATGGCGCAATCTGGTGTTCCACAGCTAAAACGACCCGTCAATGACGCTGCCAAACTTCAAAGTAGCTCTTCTACGGATACATGGTCCCAAAGTCAAAAAGTCTACCTATGCAAGCTACGCTACGCTACGTCCTCTGCCCGAGTGCGCTGCCGTCGTCGACTTGTCATTCATCGCCTCAAAACTTAGGTTTCCGGTCCAGACAATGCCCCCCGTCAACTGGGTATCTGATCCAATCTTGACTAACGGCAAACGCAAGACCCATACTTTGCAACGAAACCTTGCGCAATCAACAACTCTTCGCCTGCAGCCCAGCACCCTCATCCGGGCAATCAGCTATCCTCGGGGGCTGCTCGTCCCTGCTTCGCCTTGCCTCGCCTCAAGCTCGTCTCATTGCTCAGGCTGCTCACCTTCTTGCCTGGCGCCACCTGCCGTCGCTCCTTGTGCCAGCCAACCGGATCGACAAACGGCAGATCCGCGCTGGCACTGTCTCGAGACTCGACTGTCCGGGTTCGAGACTTTGTCCACTTCCACTCTGTGTTTCTCCAATGTTAGCGCTGACCGTGGCTCTTTCGTCGTTGTCTCCTTGCCTGTCGGACGGGATGAGATAAGACATGCGTCCAAACGCCGCGCGACCAACCAGGTCACACCCATCACCCACAACAGTCGTATTGTCATTATTGTGGGGGTCTCGGGAATCGTTGGAACTGGAGACACAACTGCCTTACTCAATATGCATGGCTCAAACAACGCGAGAACCAACAGGAACGTCTCTAGCATAGCTGCATCGCTACCTTGCAGGAAAGTACCGTACCGCTTCGGTGACCACCACGACGCACAAGTGCCCCAGGCCGATACTTCTCTGACGATTTCAACCATGGCCTGAGTTATTGTACTCTCGTGTCACCCTCTCATCCCAATCCAGACGTCTTTGCCATGTGTACACGTCTCAGGCAACCACTCGTCCAAACGAAGTTTCTCCTCACTTTCTCCTGCCATGCATGCGCCTAGGCATTCAACGGTACGAACCATTGATCAAGAGAAATGACTTTACTGCCTGGACTTTACATGTGGTTATGTTGATGCCCTAGGCTTCCACAAGTCACTTGGAACCCTGGTTCGGTGTCAATGAAACCTTTTGACATCACCAATTCTGGTCTCGAATCGCACGCACCCTGGCAAGGAATTTCTCTGAAGCAGAGCAGCCAAGAGGTGAAGTTCAAAAGACCGCGGCAGAGAGCTATTCACTGTGCCTGGCAGGCTGGCAGCAACCATTGACGGCGCAACCCACTCCACTAACACCTCTGAGACACATGTCTCGCTGGCCAGCCCCCCATGCAAGTGTCATTCGCCGTCCCAAAGGGGCAATCCGAATTGGGTGCCGCGCCCTCGGAGCCGTCATCCATTCTCGAAGATCATCCTCCGCTCAAGAGATACCTTCTGTGGCGTACAAAAAGCTACACTGTCTTCAATAACGACGAAGAAGAAGAAGAAGGGTGCGAAATATTCGACTACGTTACATCGATATTTCGCCTATAACCATGGAGCAGTTGTTCCGGGTGGTCTCTATCAGACAGCTCTTGGTCGCCCGGCCGATCTTCACGCTCTAGTCCAGCCCTCCCGGGTACCACACGGGGACCCATCCCCGCGTGCTCCAGCTCCAAGCTCCTCCGCCTGCTGCGCACCCCCTTGCGGGTGGATGCCCGCATCACCCGAGGTCCTAGCGTCAAAATGACAGCCTCGCCGGCAGCGATCGACAATCCTCCCACCGTCGTCGGGCCAATCACCAATATCAATGGGTGGCCACAGTGAAGCTTGAACCAAATGGAAGAGAGATGGAGTGGCACAGACGATCAAGGTGCGGCTCCAAAGTCAACGATGAAGTCTGGGGAAGTGCGACTTGTGCCCCTACGAAAAGATGCCGGTCGAGAATTGCCCCTTCATCTCGTCTTACGGTGTGGCCAGTTGGGAGGTGTTTATACCAGGCTGTTTGACGTGCACCGCGGAGCGCCAGTCGAGACCAGCATCATATCTCCTTCTCTCGAAAGACTCGATGCTTTCCCTAAGTTATTAGCCGCGCTCATTGCCGCGTCGTCAAATCCTCATGCCTGTTCGGGTTTTTGCAGCACCTCTGATACGTCACGACTGACGTCTCCGCACAGGAGGCTTGAATATTTTCGCCCATGTTCTGGCTCTTGTCAGGGTAGTTCCAGGGTTTCTGCCTAGCCATTTCTGTCACCAAAAAGTACGATGCTTGTATTGCAGGCTTCGACTCAGCGTCCGAAGAAATCAAGCGCACCCTAGAATGGGCATGCCTAGATCCGTGGCTCTCTGCCTTGTATCCGTAGCAGCACTTCTCATTTCTACAGCTCCACCCGCAAAAAAAAAGAAGAAGAAAAAAGCAGGCGACCGTCATTATATCGCAACCTAGGTCTCGCAGGCAGCACTCATCACTGCTCCACAAGATACGAGAGGATCCGTCGATTACGACTCGAAACTTCATGACGCCCAGTGTTTGAAGCCCAATCACCTTACGGATGACGTCTACGTCGCTCGAGGAAATGGGGGTTGGAACACAAAGCATAGAGCACAACTGAGTCTTGTGCTCAACACTGACTCCGACGCTTACAGGAGTCACGGTCCACCGCAGCGTCGATCGACTCACACAGCCGTTCCTCTCTGGCGCAACCAACGGGCTTCAACCCGCCGGACCGCTTTGGTGAATGTCATTCTATGTAACCGAAAAGGCTCACTAGACTTGGCGGCTGTCTCGAACAGCGTTGAAGATACCCAAGTCATCGTCGACACAAGCTCGAGGATGGCTTCGCATTTCCTGGCAGAATCTGGGAGATGAAATAATCCTTTTTATTGACTTGCTTGAACACTGAAGTGTATCGTTGTAGGCGATTAGGCTTGGCCTGTTACAATGTTCCTTCTCTTATGAGTTGACGATCTCGCCGGTCGAGACCTGTTTGAGCTTATGCCTTGGTTCGCCCGCTAACACTTCTACTAAGAGATTCGAGTTGTTGTTGACAGTGATGCATGCCGGGTACGCACCATCATCGCCTTTTTTCCAAGGGCGAAACAGCAGGCTGAAAGCTCATCCTTACTCTGAAGAGCACCGTTTCCTCTCAGTTACTTGAGCAGACCCAGATCCCAGCACACTAATGGTTCTCGACGAAGAGGACACATGCCCTCCACCCTCTAGGGAACGATTTCACGCAAATGAACAACACTTCTGCAATGCTCAAAGACCAAAGACTCCTCACTCCGTCAAGCTAGGCTTCCATAGACAACAACAAACTCGTGACTCCACCGTGCGTACCGTGAGGGGATGGTATATTTGGCCTCAGCTGTAGTCAAACCCCTGAACTCGTCTGCCTGTCCCCTTGTCCTCTTACCCGCACTCCATCTTCCCCATGCCGTGTGACTCGACCCTTCAATGACATATAACTAGCGCAGGAGTCCGGGTGGGGGGCTAAGGATGAAAACCCAATCCTATATCCACAGAGAGAGGCACATTAAGGGCACATAAGAATATAGAATACGTACCATGTAAGTTCTTGGCGTGAAGATACTCTTGGCAACTAGCTAGCTGTGAGAAGAACCGCATGTCTGTCTACCAGGACGAGACATTCTCAAGTGAGATAATGGCAGATGTGCCTTGCGTGGAGAAGAATCCCTCCAGTGTTCCGTAGACGGGAACCAGGCAACCATTCCATTACTTTTGTTCTGTTTCCCTCCCCCCCCAAAAAGGAAGACTTATCTGCATAGAAAGGTACCACGTGAAAATTGCAAAGACACAATCATACCACCATCTCCAAACTCACCCTTCCGCTCCTCATCTCACACACCCTACTATCATTCAGAATCCACATAGCTCATACGCCAGAACGGAACGTGGGAGAGAGAGAGCTTCAGTCGACTGCCCCGGTCTAGCGGCAACACCATGGCATCCCCGCGTGTTAAAGAGACAAAAAAAGAGAGAGATATGACGGTACAGAGAGAGAGAGAGAGAGAGAGAGAGAGAGAGGGTGGGAAGAGCTTCGATGCGGCTCGACGTGTCCTACACCACCTTGGACCTTTCTGCCTGACTCCCTACTTACCTAGCCCTCTGCCTGCCGAGAAGCATGCATGCACAAATGCAGCTTACCAGATTCGTACAGCTCCAGCTTCAACATCTGGCCACTCACGTCCAATCTCACAGGAACAAGGCATCGTCGGTGGTGTCAGCGGTTTGTGGTGCGACTTTCCGTGGTACATCTCCCTATACTTCGTGGCAACTCTTTTGCTTTTCAACAATCGTCTTTTTTTTTTTTTCAAAAGCTCGCTCTAATCTCTAACTGAATGTATCCATGAAGCAGTCCCCGTATCAAAATCGGGGGACCAGCCACAGCGCCGTTGGGTATGCAACATCTAAAGAAGTAACATGGGGAGCGGCGAATGCTTTTGCACGGTACGCCCTCTGCTTCCCCCGCGCCGATGGCCTATGCTCTGTATGCTCCATGCTCCGTACCCGTATGTGATGAATTAAAAAAAAAAAGGGAATCCCAAATGCTGCCTGTCCCGGGCAAGACCAAGTGTGACCTGATCCTACCGTGAGACCACCCCGGCCGCACCCCGCGCGCCGCAACCTTGAAGATGCCTCCTTTTTTTCTCCCTCTTTCGAAGGCAGACAAATAACATGCGCCTCTGAGGAAGCGATGCTCTTTGACGGCCCCCAACTAGATATCCATACCAAGCCGCCAACTGCTGCGTCATTAAGGCTATTCGTCAGAGTCCATCATTGGACCCCGACTTTACCAACCGTACCCCACACTTTTGTGTGGTGTGACAGGACACCAGCCGCTCGACGATCATTGACAAGTACACCTCGTTGAAGAGCGTATCTGTCCGTCATCACTACTGTCTCAGTGAGCCTCTACATTCACTTAGTGGTGCGCAGCCTTCTCGACAGTCGGGAGCTCCTTGAGCGCCTCGCCGATGATGTTGATAGCCTTGCGAAGCTCGGTCTCGGTGATGACCAAAGGAGGAGCGAAGCGGATGATGTTGCCGTGTGTAGGCTTGGCCTGTAAAAAAAAAGCAGACGAGTCAGTCATGTGCCGTGTGTGGTATTGTATCAGGGGGTTTGCAACGTACCAAGAGACCCTTCTCCTTCAACAACAGGCACAGATCCCAGGCCGTGCGGCCATCCGTAGCCGACTCGTCAATGACGACGGCGTTGAGGAGACCCTTTCCGCGCACCAGCTCGACAATGGGCGAGTTGAAGGCTCTGATGCCCTCGCGGAAGATGTTGCCCAGCTTCTCAGCCTTGGCAGTCAGATCTTCCTCCTCCATGATCTCCAACGCGCGGATGGACACGGCGCATCCCAGGGGGTTACCGCCGTAGGTGGAACCGTGGGTGCCGGGCTCAACGACGAGCATAATCTCCTTGCTCGACAGGACGCAGCTGACGGGGTACAGACCGCCAGAGATGGCCTTGCCCAGGGTGATCATGTCAGGCTTGATGCCGGCCCACTGGGAGCACAACATGCGTCCAGTGCGGCCGATACCGGTCTGGATCTCGTCGCAGATGAAGAGGACGTTGTGCTTCTTGCAAAGATCGTTCACTCTCTTCAGGTAGTCGTCGTCGGGGACCACGACACCGGCCTCGCCCTGGATCGGCTCGATGATGATGGCAGCAGTGTCCTTGCCGTGCGCCTCGAACACCGCCTCGATATCCTCGACGTTGTTGTAGCGAATGGCCTTGCCCGTGGAAGGGTTCAGGGCGCCAATGTTGGGAACATAGGGGCCGTAGTTGTCTCTCGATTCGGGGTCGACTGACAGAGAGATGGCAGTCATCTGGGAGGGTTTCACGTCAGCCTCGGTCCGAAAAAAAAAAAAACGCAGTTGTCAGCCGCAAAAATCTTGGGAATGTACTCACAGTTCGGCCGTGGAAGTTGTCGTTGACGGAGAAGACCAGAGCCTTGCCCTGCTCAACGCCCTTGACCTTGTACGCCCACTTGCGGGCAATCTTGATTGCGGTCTCGACGGCTTCGGCGCCTGTGTTCATGGGCAAAACCATGTCATAGCCAAAGACCTGCTGGATCTTCTCGGCCCACTTGGGGAAGACATCGTTGTAGAAGGCTCTCGAGCTGAGAGTCAATCTGCTGGCCTGCTCAGTCAAGGCCTTGACGAGCTCGGGGTGGCAGTGGCCTTGGTTGACGGCGCTGTAGGCGGAGAGGAAATCGAGGTACTGCTTGCCCTCGGGATCCCAGACGTGAACGCCGCTCGCCTTGGAAAAGACGACAGGCAGCGGGTGGTAGTTGTGGGCAGCGAGCTCCTCCTCGGACTTGATGGCGGCCTGGGTGGAAGAGGCGTGGTATCTCGACTCCACTCCGCCATTGGACTGAGGGGTGCCGCCGTTTGCGTGGGGGGCCATGTTGTCTGATTTACGTTGGATGGACTTGGTGAGAGAGCAATATGGGTGAGATGCGTGGAATGGGTAGTTGAAAAAGGATCAATTGGCTCCAGGGAACGTTCAATTGTTGTCAGAGAGCGTTTGCGACTCAGGACAAGTGGCCGTTCAAGTAGAGTTTGTAGGCAAGGAGATGGAGAGTTGAGAGAGAAGGAGAGCGTCAAGAGAAGAAGACGGGAACGAGGGGCAAATCGCGGGGTCTTGGGTAATTATACCCCCCTGGCAGAAAGCCCGGTCATCCTTGACTAAAAGGACTCAAGCGCGATACGGAAGCAGAAAACCAGGAAACCAGGTGGTCGTGGGAAAGCGGCGGCGGCGACAACGTGGACAGGGTCCAAACATGGCCGGAGGCGGACGATACGAGTAGGAAGTACATGGCCCTGCCACTCTGGTGCCAGCAAGACAAAGCAGACGAGACGAGACGGGTACGACGGGTTCTTGCCAGTTTGTGGATTAAAAAAAATCTAAGCTATGCAAGTGTGTGAAAAACGGCTGGACCTTGACCTGGAACCAAACTCTTGGTGTCGGAGTCAGAAGGCGCGCCACTATGCCTTTAAGTGCAGGTATGTTCCCCTAAGCGCAGGTATAAGCGGCTCAAGTGGGTGAGTGGGCGGGATGACGCCCGAGGGGGCCATGTAAGGGAAACCATCCCGGTGCCAATTCAGTCACATGGCCCCGGGGGGAGAGAGGGGAGGGGTGGCGCGGACGTAGGAAAAGCAGTGCGTTCGGTCACCGGTGGTTTCTTTGGTCCTTTTCTCTGGGGTAAGAATCTCGTAATGGAATATGGAAAAGGATGCGGTTGCTTGGTGTTGCCGCGGGTTGTAGTCTGGGGGAAGGGGGGCAGATGACTGCCGGGTGTTGTTGATGGTGGAAAGTCAACTTTCAAGAGAGGAAACCACCAATCCCATCAGGGGGAGCAACCAAAGCGAGAGCCTCTTGCCAATGCGGCGGGGGGGGAGACAACAACTGCGAGGAACTGGAACGAGGAATGAGGAATGCACCGAGGCCGATAACGGGCATCTGTGGTCGCGGCGTTGGAGAGGCACAGCAAGCCCTATCTACGCTATCATATTTCCTTTTGCGTTGCAGACGGCCAACAGTGTAACCATTTGTCGACAACTCGAGAAACCGCATACACGCACTATATTCAACGACGTGCGATTGGACTGAATAGAAAAAGATAGGGAATTACATGTAGATAAACCATGGAACGTGGTGCGTGGAGAATACGCAGAGTGACAGACGGGAGTGCCTGCTATTGGGGCCGATGCGGACGGCAGAGGAAAGGGCTCCGTGGCCCAATGACAAAGACGGTATTTCCATTCCCGCTGCTCGGATCCAATAGGGCCGTCCATTTATATGGAGACTACTAAAGATCCAATGAGCATCTGTTCTTTTCCAGATAAGTGGATATCACCAGGTTCCTGCCTGAGAGTTTTCAACTGATTGCCTCAAGATCAAGGCCACAAGGCTAGATGTAGTCTTGTGTCCTCATCACCCTAGGTACCTCAGGTAGGTTCTTCAGGCTTCGGCGACTGATTCTTTAGTGACCAATTGCCTGAGGGCGGTGGCCTGTCAATGAAACTTAGCGCCTCTGCGTCCGTCCACGGCCCTGCCGTAAGCCCGCAACATCCTGGTCCTCCCGTCTCGACATTCCATTAGCGATCGAGAAGACCGCTTTTCGGCATCAACTTTTCCATCACAGCCCACACACTCCTTTCTTCCCCCCTTCGTGCCCCCTTAGCTGACCGTCCGACGGCCACACGGCAAAGCGCGAGAAGAGGAAAACAGCGAGAAAAAAGAAGAGAAGAAAAAGTCTATCCAGGTTGACACACTTACATTCGAACAACCGGCACACACGCGGCACTACCATCAACACATCCTGACTCGCCCTTCATCTCTCAAATCCATCGGGCTCCCCGCTGCGTTGACCGAACCGTTCGTTTCCCACGCCGCCGCCGCCGCCGCCGCTGCTTCCTGCAAGAGGGTCATTCCATTCCCCCCAAACAGCTCACCGCAACCCTCCTCCCCCCCCCCCCCCGTCCGACCGATGATTACGCAATAAGTCCCTTCCGTCCCCCACCCCGCCTGACTGCCGCCGCCGCCGCCGGCCACAAACTCTCAACGCACCGTATCCACAATGGCTTCCGTCGGCTCCCCGCCCGCCCCCGAACTCCTAATGGCAGTTCGTAACGAGCACAACAAGCCCTCCGTCTTCCGGTCCCTCCTCATCATCCGTCTCCTCAACGCCTGGTGGGTCCTCACCTTTTTCCAGCCCGACGAGTACTTCCAGGCCCTCGAACCCGCCTGGCGCATCGCCTTTGGCCAGGGGAGCGGCGCCTGGATCACCTGGGTGAGTTTTCAATTTCTCTATTTGTAATTTTTTTTATTCATGATCACTATTCACGATAGTCGAGGATGTAAACGTTTGTTGAATCCCATGTGCAACTAACACAAACCAGGAATGGAGAAACCAGCTCCGCTCCTCGCTGCATCCCGCCCTCTTCGCCGGCGTCTACACCCTCGCAGACCTCGTCGCCCGGCCCCTCCCCATCATCAGGCCATGGCTCCTCCTCGCCGCTCCAAAGGCCGCACAGGCCGTCTTCGCCGCCGCCGCCGACTGGTACACCTGGCAGCTGGCCGTCAAGATCTACGGCGCCGATAGCTCCGTCTCATGGTTCGCTGTAAGTCCTCACCACCACCATCACCACCACCATCACCACCACCATCACCACCACCATCAGTAGCTGTCACAACTGCTACATCCGCATAACTTGTCAAACCAAGGCTAATGCAATATCGTCATGTAGCTATTCATGAGCATGTTCAGTCCTTTCCAGTGGTACTGCTCCACCCGGACCTTTTCCAACTCGCTCGAGACCACGCTCACCATCATGGCCCTCAACTACTGGCCCTGGGAGCTCCTCAGTGATGCAAAAACAGAAAAGGAGAATCCCAAGCCCGCAAAGTCCATCTTACACACGCCCGGGACTCTCACTAGGTATGTTTCCGTCTCTCACATTTTGACACCGACCGGCCGCCCACCTTAACCGGCCTCTCCCAAAAAGAAAAACACTCGCTTACACGCCAACAGCCTCCGCCTATCCCTCATCCTCGCCGCAACAGCCGTCCTCCTCCGCCCAACAAACATCCTCATCTGGATACCAGTCGCCCTCGCGACCCTCCTCCGGCCCCTCCTCTCCCGCTCCGGTCCCACCTCCGGCCCCGGCCCCACCACCTCCGCCCTCACCCCGCAAACCATCCTCCTCCTCCTCCGCGAAGCCCTCCTCTGCGGCACCCTCGTCCTCTCTCTGTCCCTAACCTCAGATCGCCTCTACTTTGGCGAATGGGCTTTCCCCCCCTACAAATTCCTCTACTTCAACCTCTCCCAATCCCTCGCCGTCCTCTATGGCCGCAACGACTGGCACTATTACCTCTCCCAGGGCCTCCCCCTCCTCTCAATGACCTACCTCCCCTTCGTCCTCGTATCCCTCTACCACCCCCCGCAACCGACAACAACATCATCACACTCCAAAATCCCCAGCAAAGCAACCCTCGAAACCCTAACCTGGACAGTCTACATCACCCTCGCCGCCCTCTCCACCGTCTCCCACAAAGAAGTCCGCTTCATCTACCCCCTCCTCCCAAACCTCCACATCCTCGCCGCCGCGCCCCTAACATCCTTCTTCACGACCCCGGCCCCACCACCCTCCGCCAAGTCCCCGCTCCCGAAGCCCCGCCTCCGCCACAAACGTCTCCTCGCCTCCGCTTTAGCCATCCACGCCGCAATCGCCTTCTTCCTCACCCTCCTCCACCAGCCCGCGCCCCTGACGGTCCTGACCTTCCTCCGGACCTCGTACGCCCGCATACACCCGGAGCAAGCGGCCACATCCGCGCCGATCGCGTCCCTGGCATTGGCCTCGTTGTCCTCCTCCTCCTCCTCCTCCTCATCGTCAACAAAAGAATCTCAAGGCAAAGAACTCTTCGCCCTCTTCCTAACACCATGCCACTCCACCCCCTGGCGCTCCCACCTCCTCCACCCCGCCCTCCGCGCCCGCGCCCTCACCTGCGAACCGCCCCTGCACACCCAGCCAGGCACCCCCGAACGCGAAGCCTACCGCGACGAGGCCGACCGCTTCTACGACGACCCCCAGCTCTTCATGGCGACGGAGCTGTGGCCGGCAGCCGAGTCAAGCTCCATCTCCAGGTCCAACTCCGAGTCCGAGTCCGACGTTGGTTCAGGAACATCACCCGAAATATCATCAGCACCACCAGAAGACGTCCCCCGCTACATTATCGGCTTCGAAGGTATCGAACCCTGGCTCCACGACTTCTTCTCCTCCCCCAACGGCGCGGGCCGCCACCTCGGCGTGAGCCCGAGACGCGTCTGGTCAGGCTGGAACGGCTTTTTCAACGAGGACGCCCGTCGGCGCGGGAAGCTCGTTGTTTGGGACACGGGGCTGTATACTACTGTATCCTAGAGAAGTTGAACAACATCAGTGTAAGAGCAGAGAGTCAAAAAAATAAGATGTAAATAAAAAGAAAACGAAAAAAAAGGACCCCAAAAGAGTCAATAGAAATGTAAGAATCGCAATACATCACAAAATTAGAGCATCATCGCGACTTTGAGAATGGAAATAAAATTCTTTCTTTTCCTACCCCTATCCTAGGCCCATGGACACAAAAACCAAATCCCATGAAACGTTAAGGGGTTATGGTGTGGCCGAGACTACTACACTCATGAACAAAATAAAAACGCCAATTTGACAGGATACCCTTCATAGCGAGCGAGCCCGTAGACAATGCGTCGCTGTACACCAAGCCAGAGAATCGAACAACTCCGTACATTTATGATGGTTCACTCACAACAAGCACGCACATGCCTCCTTTTTCTTTTCAAACGTTCAAACGTAGTCTCTTGGAACTGGGGGTTGGCCTCGTCTAGACTGGCCCCCTTTTCCACCTCAGAAACCCTTGATGCATCGTGTCCAACCATGAGTGAAATGGCATGTTCCACACAAAAAAACGTGCTCTTGATAAACAAAACACCTCAAATGGGCATACTTCGAATTCGGATCCTTGTCGGTATTACCGCGCTGCTTCAGGTGCTGGTTGCGTTGGCGGTGCGATCTCCGGCTGAGAGGCTGCTGCCAACTGAGACTTTGCCGGTTGGGCCGGTGCTGGTGGGTTTGCTACGGTAGATGCGGGAGGCGGCGATACAGGACTCGTGACCGTTGGAGATGATGCCTGCTGCGCTGGCGCTGATGTCGGCTGGGGTGGCGGAGGTTGGGACGTTGCGGTTTGCGTCGCTGCCGGCTGAGCCGCCGCCGTCTGAATCGGGGCCGCTTGCTGTGGCAACGGCGGTACAGGTGGGTTCGGTGCCCTCTCCTCGGGTTCCCTGCGAATATCCAGGCTCTTTCCCCTCCCCGACATGATACTTGAGCCTCCCAAGGAAGATTGTCGGTCTGCTGGGGGCGATTTATTCCGTCGCTCGGCGTTCTCCTTGGCTTCACGGTATTTGTTCCTAATCCAACCGATGGGCCCCTTGGATTCGTCCTTGCCGTCCTTGTCCCGCGATTCATGACTGGTTTGTGCCTCGGCAGTGTACATGCCAGTATCTGAACTTTCCCCGGTGAAGCTCTTCCGGGGCCTGTATCCACCACTGCCAATCGAGGTCACGCTCACGTCGGCATTATCGTTGGATCCGAAAGCCAGACGCGGAGAGGTGATTGAAGGGTGGTGCTCGTGGCCTCTCTGTCGTGAAAGTCGCCATCTTCTCTTCTTTTCCTTATCCGGCTCGCTGGCGTCTGCGGAAGTCGTCACAATGGACTCTTCAGTCTGATCAACGTCAGAACCTTCGTTAAATGATGAGTGAAGTGATGTTGGCGGTGACTTTTTGGCCTTGAGCGTCTGCTCGGGATGTAGGGTGTTGCTAGAGGGGACCTGTGATGCGCGCGGGGTGGGTTCCGAGGGTGTATCAACTGCACCAGGCTGCTGGCCAACCGCGAGGGAATCGTGCTCTGGGATTGTATCGGCCACCAGATCCATGGGGTTGGGGGCCTCAAAACTAGGGGACACAGCGGCTGAGTGCGTACCGGACAAGGATGCGGCGGAGCTTTGCGCGCTCGGGTTCAAGCTCCCAGGAATCCGCTTCTTCTTCAATTTGTTCGGTTGTCGCTTCTCGCCCTCTCCCGTAGGGGATCTTTGGAATATGCCAGGAAGGACTCGTTCCTTAATGGGGGTCGTGGCTTCGTTCGGATCAAGCAGCCTCTCCTGGCTTCTGCCTGCGTTGCCAGCAGCGGTGGGTGCCAGGCTAGATGTGCCTATCGCAGCCGGCGCAGGCGAAATGCTCGACGCAGCGGGGGACTGATCAGGTGCTTCGACAAGCTCTTCCGTTGTTGTCGGGATCATGGGCTCACGGGTTGACGAGCCTGGAATGGGTGAAGCATCACGTCGGAACCTTCCCGTCTGAAGAGCAGGGGACTTCTTCGACGGGACTGTGTTGCTTCTGCCAAGCCCGCTGTTCGGCGTCGGGGCGAGTGCTGGGCTGTTCGGCGTCGTAGAACCTTCATGGTGCGAGTGCCTTGAAGATGTCGATCGGTTTCTTCTGAGCATTCCGTCTCTTCTTACACTGTCGGCGCCGGCACTCGCATTGGAAGCAGACCGGCCCAGACCCGACTTCCTGTTAGGGTTAGGAGTCACTGGCCCACTCGCTGCAGGGGGCGTGCCTTTTTCGATCAGCTGCTTTGTCTTCTCGTCAGTGGCCGTGCCCTGCATGCCAATCAAGAAGTGGTCCTGGTTTTCGATGAGGAAAATGAGCACGCATTGGTTTAAGCGATACTCTTCAGGAGCCATGGCGTGCTGCGGGTGCGACAGCATGCCGGGTTGGAAAATGGCTGCTAGATTCTGTGAATTCATCCTGTTCTCCTCCGACTTGGCGGCGAAGACAGCGAGCAAATCCAGGATGTATAGCAGGAGCTGGCGATTCAGCGGTGGGAGCTCCGTGATGAGCTTCTGGTACTTAACGATGGCCGCTTGATCGTCGAAATTTTCGACAAACTGCGGGCCTTCGGCATCGCCCACGGCTTGCCTCGTGGCGCCTCGCAACGGTTCCCTGAACTTCTCGTATAAATCTAGCGGCACAACAGGTTCAGGAAGGTCGTTGAGGTATCGTCGGAGCACGTTGGCAGCATCGTGAACCGTGTAATTGTCCCAAACCAGGCCCTTTCCGTAGCGATCGGGTGAGTCGAAAATCTGTTTCAGCTCCTTGATTCGCTTCTCGGAGCCACTCAGACGGAAAATACCCTCCACCGTTGTTGCTAAGACGGCATGTGAGCACGTTGGAGATGGACTGTAGTTTGCGTATACTTACCCTTTTCCTTCAAGAAGACGCCGCACTTGGCGACAACAATCGGTACGTAGCCATAAATATAGCTCTTTCCGTTCTCGTCGACGAGAGATATCGCGACATTGGCGTAGGTGATGCTCTGACGGAGAGGAACGCCGAAAATTCCGTGAGGCCGATTGTCTGCTGTAGAACCTTTAGCACATGAAGTAGAAGATGTTTTCACAGCCGCGCGGATGTGCTTGGCACACTGGCGCACAGGCATGGTGATGGACAGGGACAGCCTGTTGAGCCGTGCAGTCGGGTTCAAGGTATTGGAGGCTGTCGCATCACTCGAAGCGCAGACTTGAGGCAAAATGGGATCGCAGGACCCAACAGAATGGGCATCCTGCAACAGCAAGACAAGACTGAGAGGTACAGCTGACGTATCGATTGCCTCGTCGACATCTTCACTGAAGAGGGGTTGAGTGGGAGTTGGGGGCGGCTGTTGCGATGCGAAAGTAGAAGGGGCTCTACCGTGATGTTCCTGATGCTTCGAGGGAAGCTTGAATCCTTTCCACCACGATTTGAGATCTCTCTTATTCGGAGTCGAGGGCGCGGCGGGCGCGGTCGAGTTGCTCGTGGGCTGAAAAGCCTGGTTGGGGGGAGGAGCGGCGGACGTCATCGCAATGACGGAGCGCAGGTGGTCGGAGCTCAATTACTTTATCGCAGCCAGCGTCCTTTGGTTGTCGTGGGAATCGAGGATGAACAAAGTGTGTCAAGCGGCGGGGATTTGTCGAGCGACGGCCAAAGAAAGTTGTATGTTAGAGACAGATTCGGTGCAGTCGGTCCTCGATCTGTAGGTCAATCGGTTGGTCGCTTGGTCGCCTGGTGGTGTTTTGGCACAGGATCGAGTCGCTTGAAAGGTATTGGGTGTGAGCATGCGCTAGGATGAGATGCGACGCGCAGGCGGTGATTGGTCGTGGGCTTCTTTTGGCGCGCAAATATTCCTTTGTCGAGTGAAGCGCTCCTAGAGACCGTCTCTGGAAGTCCTCCTTGTCTTGTGTTGCAAAGGCCCTGCTGTTGATGTCATGAAGAAGTTCCGACCCAAGTGTGAGTAGGAACGAGGACGGGGGCGAGCGAGTGAGGTGACGAAGAGCGTCCGTGTAGGTGAAATGACCCAGGTGTATTCGGGCAGCGTTGACCGGGGACAGAGGACGGCGGGCCACGACGATGCGGAGCTAGAGAGGGGATGGCGGGAGTCGGTAAGACACGAGCGAGCTGTGCGTTGGTGGGATTTTTTTTTGACGATAGAAAACGAATGAAAGCGAGCGACGTTTCCGACCAGAACACTAGGCGCGACAACGACACCTTGAAACCTCTTCGTCGATAGTTGTCGGTCGGACAAAAGAGGGCGAGGGGTGAAGGAGTTTGGTCTGGAGAAGAGAGTCTGGGGGTCGAGTAAGGTAGAAGGGGGAAAATGCAAGGTATGTGCACCGGTACCAGGTAAGCAATAGGAAGGTGAGTAAGGTGAGATGAGGCAAAGGCAGAGCCCAGAGAGAGAGAGAGAGAGAGGGCGAAGCAAGTACGGAGTCGGTACGGAGTACCTTAGGTACGAATAGACGAAGGCGGAGGGACGCAGGAGAGGTTGCAGGTGCCGGTGCAAGTCAGAGGTCCAGGTCCAGTCCAGGTCCAGGTTGGGGGTCTAGGTCCAAGTGGTCCAGGCCGGGCGTAAGTGTAATGTGCGTGTGCGTGTGTGCGTAAATCGGGCGAGGTCAGGAAATGGAGGTAGGTTATGTATGGTAAGGCAAGGTGAGAGAGAGAGAGAGGGCGGGAGAGAGGAAGAGAGCAGCTTAGGTGAGGTGTGAGGTAAGGCAGACACCTAAGGTAGGAAGAGAGGTGTGGAGGAAAGGAGTATGGGTGTGCGCTAGACGCGTTGTCGTCAGTGGTGATGAGACCAGTACTTGTTTCCTTTTTTTTCTGATATGATTCAAGCTCACAGGCAGCACCTCCAGGCCAGGCTGAATTTGTCAAAGCCGGTCGAGGTGAGAATGCACAATGAATGAGCGTAGTGTAGTTGAGCGAGTGAGGCTGGAATAATGAGAGAAAGAGTGATAGTGAGACTGAAAGTGAGAGTGAGGTTTTGCGTTGCAGCAGTGAGTAATACTGAGGTACCCAGCTGTGGACAATGAAGTGTGATGCACTGAGTAACGATATTGGACGTCGACGATGCGGGAACAATAGACACCAAGAAACAAGCATGGAGTCGGGGAAACGCAAAGTACCCAGAGCTGAGCGAATAATGGTTACAGTGCCCAGCGGTCCGCGGACAGAGAAATGCAAAAGACACGACAGGGAGCGTCAAGCAAGCATCAATAACACACACATACTCCGTACACACATCAGGAGCAGCAGCAGGAGGAGCATACCAAGCGGTACAACTCGTCAGCGCGGCGGCGGCAACCAGGCGCTGACAATACGGGACGGGATGGATAACCCGGACCAAGGTAGCAGCAATGAGCAGGGTTGACGCCGGTCAGGTGGTCTGGTAGGGCCAGAGACGACGAGGATGGATGAGGGTTGTGAGGGGTTGGACGGCTGCGATACCGATGTCATGCCCATTTGACGGGGCAGAGGCTCCAATGTGAATTCACTGTCAATATCTACGCGGTACGGAGTACCTAGTACCAAGGTAAGGTAAGTACGGAGTAGGTAGTGGGCACAGGGACTGGCGCTGGGCCTTGGCTAGAGAGGTTGGGTGGGAGGAAACGGGAGTGTGGGAGCGGGAGTGGAAACATAAGATACCTGCCTTCCTCGCCACTTTGACGAAGGAATGGAAGTACCCCTAGGTGAGGTGTGTCTAAATGGTCTGGAGCAGGGCACTCTGAGGTGCTCACGAGTGGAAGAGAGCCGGCCCGGGACCTTGCAACAGCTCCAGAAGGCCCAGGGAGCAAGACAGGCCAGGCACTCCAGGCCCATCGTACGGTGGAGAGAAAGACTCGTCGAGGCCCGAAGGCTGCATCGGCCAATGTGTGCTACTGATGCGCAGTTACGTGCGACGTGGGACGTTGAATGCTGCTGGGCATTGGCCGTTCATTAGCCGTCTGTCACTGGTCGTTCCCGACCGTCGCGGACTCACGGCGTCTCCCTGACCACTGGGGTTCCTGGCCTGGTACGTTAGCACGTTACCTTAGCTATCAACCTAAAGTACCCAGACGTAAGGGCCCATGGCAGGTAGTTGCCGGTAGGGTACCGTCACCGACGATCGAAGAGGAGGTGGGCTGGCGAGGGTAATGGTGCCTTGATATTTTACCTTGGGATACCTTAGGTATTCAGTGAGGAGTACCTTATCGTAATGCCGGCGGTGGAACTGGGAGACTACCTACCCTGTGGTTGCTTGCTGGTGTTGCTTGCTGGTGTTGCTTGCTGGGGAAAGGCTGACAGCATGCAAGGGGACGACGACGCGGCACTTCCTGGTAGATGGATGCAAAGGCATGGTGGCATGCGAGAGGAGAGACGGGAGTGAGAGAGAGGATGAATCTGCAAAATTCACAGTGTTCCAGTGTCCACGCCCGGGCACGTCTCCATATCATTGGTACGTACTATGCATACAAGTAACAATAAACGCTTTTGTCCATCTCCAGCTGGCAGGTCCAAAGCGAGTGCCGTAATTTCCATGTTGCCATGCACCCAGCTCCAAACACGGCCAAGTACCATTAACATGGCAAGATACCTAGTACCTCGCCGCATTTTTGGCTCTGTGGGGCGTGGTCAGGAAGGATCAAATGGGACAACGGGAGGCCTGGGCCAACCTGGGTGCCTGCCACCTGTGACCTGGGTTCTTACCTCGGGGGGATGGCAAAACTTCGACTCTCGAGGCTCGAGGCAGCCACGGCACCTCAGCGTGAGAGGGAAGGACTCAAGGAGAACGAACAATGGCAGAAGTCAGGAAGGAGGGGTGACCCTGCCGACGGGAGCTCTTGCGCGAAATGAGACTGACGAGATGGTGGTGGGTCCCAGACTCCCGAGTCCCAGTGACCACTGATGAACGGCCCTTTCTCCGAGTCCTCCCCGCCTGGCGGGTTTGTCTAAAATTTTGTTTTTTTTATTTAATTCTCAACACCAGATCAATAAAGCAATCACATTCAATCAATCTCTCATTTCACTACCACGCGCTTACATACGTACTCTGCATCAGTCTAGTGATTCCAGTCCACACTTTTTCAAATCACGGCATTACATCCTTACGAATACCTCGCGCTGGAGTAAGATACCTACCTTACGCAGATATACTTTGAGCACCCAGACGAGACGTGCAAACGGATACCTACCAGGTACCTAAGCACCTACCTACCTTAGATCCAGCAGTGGAGTGAACGCAGAGATTTCATACGGCGTCCACAGTCCGGCGAGGAACTTTAAGTTAAGGTACGGCAAGGGAAGCGTGCAGATGCTACCAGCCACGCCACACCACGCCACGCTCTCACTTGTCAAGATCTTACCTTGGGTTCCAATCTCGAAAAGATGCGTCACCCATCAATGAGCGGCATTATCTCAACGTTCTGACATTTATGTTTCGACTCCCATGATCCCTAGATGCTTGGGATCTATCCGTAGAGATCCAGGTTCCATCGCTTGCGCACTTCATCCATCACTTCATACTGCGTCAACTACCGGCATGCGCCAACCGGAACCCCTTTCCCTTACATGACTTACAACTTACAGCGCCTTCGCTACGGATGCATAGGGTATTCAAAGATGCAACATGCTTATGTCAAGGTACCTAGCGGATTTGCCGCATGCTGGAAAGGCCCCTCTTCCCCTCTTGAGTCTTTTCGGCCGTTCGCGAAAAGCCTCGCGAGTCAAGCTGGGGAGGGCGACTCGTGCGGCACTGCGGCTTGCTGCCAGTGAGCAGAGTCACTAATCCTTCCCTCCACGAAAGCTTAGATACGCAGTGCCCCGACACCAGGGCAGCATACCTAGGTACTCCAGAGAGCTTTCATGCGGGCAGTGGTAATTGCACAGTGACAGTCACGTTGTCCGAGCCGTCTCTGTACTCCCGAGTTTCCAGCCTCTCGATGGGATCTACCTGGTCCAATTGATGGTCTGGATGGTTCATCCATGGTTGTCGTCTGCTTAGACGTGGAGACAAGTCCCCTCTTATGCTCCTAGCGGCCCTGGCGGGAGCTCACCGGAGCTTGGGCGCTCTACTACGGGTAACGGAGCCAGGAGAATACCAGTTTTGGAAATTGGTTCTAGAAGGGAAAAAAAACAAAACAGGAACAGGAATCAATAAAAAAAACAAAACAAAAACTAAGTCGGAAAGAAGTCGCCAGGAAAGAAGAAAGGACAAACACGAGAGCAGGGAGCTATCTGCCTCCTGCCGATGTCATCCATTCTAGAAGTCGATGCAAGACAAGAATCGATTCAAGACCAATCTAGGGTACCTTTCTCAATTACCACTAACACGACATGGACGCTGCCTTTTTGAATGTCGTGATCCCTAGATCTTGACACTCAGGTTACTCAATCACTTTGAAGCCATCAGCCACTTTGTCATCCTCTTACCGCAACAGTGAGAGCTCACTCAGGACCAAAAGTTATTGCTTATTTCTTGGGGCCTTTAACAAGCATCGAGCAAACTCTGAAATAAGGCATGGCACAAAAGGCCGCGCAGTCTGACCATGGAAACGACCTGACGGGAATGCGCCGCCAGAGGTACCTGCATTAATTGACACCTGCTCGTCTCGTCCAATCCGGGCCGGGCACCAACTGACAGATGCACCTCCCACCCCGGTCCTCAAGCTGGCAGGCACCTCTTTCCTCTTTCCCTCTTCCATCTCAAAGTACCTCAAAGTAAGGTACCTTAATGTGGGAAGAAGAAAGTGCATCTGTGACACGCAACTGCCGCAACATCAGGCCAGCCGTGAATTCGTTCTGCAATCAATTGACTTTTGGGCTGAAATATTGACATATCGCCAGCGGCATGCCGCAATTCTTTTCCCACATCAGCCAGGGCTGCATACCGTCACGTCGACATGCGAAACCCACCACGCGGCGTGCTCAATTATCCGTCCGACTTTCGCTTTTTCGAGACTCCCTGTCTTACCTATTCTTACTGCCTTACTTGTCCCTGTCTGTTGAGCTGTTTTGCAAACTTCAACCATGGCCAGTTGTTCCATTTCACCGTATGAACTACCTATCTCGGACTCGAAAACTTGGCTTTCGTTGCAATTTCCGTCCGGCAACCTGCTTTCGGCCGGTGGATCTGCTGTTATCAGTCTGGGAGGAAGAATCTGGCAAAGTAGCGTTTCGTTTCCCCTGCCTTGGTCGAGTCATCAAATGCTACCACGACGACATCATCTTGCTCTCACCCATCCGTTTTGAGCTTCTCCTGAACCAGAAGAGGACTTCCGTCACGTCTTGACCTCAGGGCGCGGTCCATTTGCTGGTCCAGCCCGAACCTCCGTCTCCGAAGAGGCAAAGGCCGCTGTCGATCACTTTGCCAGCGCCGAACTAAGCCTCCTGGCGGATGGAACTGTGCCGGTACGGTCAGGCCTTGCAACCATGGACTCAACCGACGACATCTGTCCATGCCCGGTGTGCCAGTCTGCTCTCTGGGACAATCAAAGCCTGCAAGGCATCGGCTGTCGAGCATCCAATCTATTTATTTCAAGAGGAGACGCGGTGCTGTCTTCCGCTTTTGACTTTTTCTCCAGCTTGACCATAACATAGGTAGAAGCGATCCATGGTGGTGGAGCCGAGACACACAACACCACAGAGCATTCGTTCCTTGTGCTCCCTCTCGCGGCCCTCTTCTCCGGAGTGATACCGCCACTCAGGAAGAAGAAGAATCTCATCTCGTAACGTCGGCGCCGAGGTTCAAATCGTCTAGGCAGTCAATTCGTCACCCGTGGCCAGATACCATGCCACTTCCAAGCTTCGGTTCGCAGCACTCACCTGCAACCGACAGAGTCTAGCCAATGGGCCTCAGGACATGCTGCTCCTAGCGAACCCTGCGCTCTCTGACTGACACCAACACATCAGCCGACGTTCCAGGTAATGTCTGACAGCTTTGACACCAATGTCTCGCATTTTTCCCGACATACCTCTGGCTCAGGAGAACAAAGCCTAAGACTCCTCGTGTTTTCTCATCAGCTCAGCAACATGGAGTCATGGGCGACTGGCTCACGGTTCACGGTTCACGTACCTTTTGCAGAAAAGCAACATACGCCATCCAACGCACGCAACCCAATGGCACACCCCAATTCAGCCCATCCGGCCTGAGGTGGTAGCCTCTGCACTGTCTGCAGAACAGAGCCCAGATGCTGGATCTTGCCGAACATCCATCGTTCCGACCATTCATCTGCCTTTCCATGCCCATGTCTATCCCATCTTCAGGGACTGGCGGGTTACAGTGGCTCTCATAGCAGCAGATACCTTACCGCTACTTACGCTCTCGAGGTCCTCACCGTAATCCAGGCGGTAACCCGCATGTACTCTTCCGTCTTATTGGCAATTGCTCCCACCCCCATGGCTACCCGATGACGTCGTGTACCTCCGGCTTCGACGACGATGCCCGCATCCCCCGCCAGGTTTATGTCAACGGCCTTCAGTGCTTGAAAGAGCTTGTTGCCCCGACGCCCTTCCCGGCTTCGACAGTGCTGCCTCCAGGTCCCGCCATGCCGCCCAATGTCGGCGTCTGCCGCCCACTGCCACCGCACAGCACCACGCCACACCCTCTCACCCTAAGACTACGTACCATCGTGAGGACCCTTCAAAATGCCGTCAATGAGCTGCTCCAACCAATGCCGGGTTCATCCCGTTTCCATAATTAGCACCAAATCCTTTCTCGTCATGCAGGGACACACAGCGCCCGTTCTCCAAGTCAGAAAATGTCGTGTTTCCTCACCCGGACCTGTTGTCCAACAACAACCGAGTGGGATTTGCGGAGAAGAGCTGCCTCGGACACGGCTTTGGCATCATCTCTACTGGTTGCATCGCATTTCCTTCGTCTTCAACGCACTCTGTACCCAGTACCTGCTACCTAGTCGACCTTTGGGGGTGGCGCAGAACCACACATCTTCGTCATCAAAACCAGCCCATTCGCCTCAGCTCGCCCAATAACGACTGACTTCCGCCTTGCCCTGTTTACCGTCGCATTTTTTCGGGACAACTCACAACTCGCTCTTGGCCGGAGAGATCCCTGATCTACGCCTATCTACAACACTAACTGCAGGAAATGAAACAGGCTAATTGTTGAAACGGAGGATTCTTGTCTTCGCCATAGGCATTCAGCCCTGCAGACCACCACTTGCAAATCCTTTGCCGTCCATACGAGCCAAAATCCCACGCAACCCACGCACCATGACAAGTTCACCTCCTTGATAGACAACGGTCAAATCCACACTATAACCTGTTGTTCAGGTTCCGAGGAACGCGGGGTAGAAGGCGATGGAAGGAGGGGCATAGCCACACTTTTTGTTCATTTCCATCATGCGCTCACATGACTGTGCTTCTAATACGATAGCGTGCTGACTTTGTGCCCGTCGTAGCTTGCTTGTCCATGGCAGCGCAAATGTGGAGGTTCGGAGCCGTCGGGAGGGCAGTCGCTCTCTCTCACACACACAACTTGGCGCTTGGAGACTGGAGGACCTATTTGTGGATACGCAGCATTCGTGATTCCAAGTTCTTCATCAAGGACTTTACTGTATGGTTTCCTTGGTTCTTGGTTCGATTGACAACTCGGAGCTGATCACGGGAATGATCGTGGGTTGCTATTCACGAGACATGTGCGAGTGATCGGCAGCCATGACGGGGTGTAGTAAGTTATCTCTCTTGATTCTGGAGGTGAGTTCCATCTTTCGCCTGTAATGCACGTGATAGTGAGGGGGTGGGGATGGTCCAGAGACACTGCTATTGTCATGGATTGATCATGCCTCTCGATGCATATGCCGAGTGAAGAGCTTTTGACAGGGCTAGGCACTAGAAGGCGAAGTTGGTTAGAATTCATCTTGACTCGGTTGACTAGGTATACGAGTTTGACGACCACGATGACGGTTTGAAGCCATTGGCTTTGTAAGGACAACCTCGTGATTCTATTTCAAAGGCTTTGAGATATCGTGGTGTTGTCGAAGGATTTGCGTGCGTCACCCGGTGTTGTTTTGAAGAGTGCACCGGTCACTATACTACAAGCGTATTGTAGAGCTTGCCTTGCGTTCTTCTGGGATAAGTTATCTGATACAGAGTCTCGAGATTCTGATTCTACCTTGCGTCTTAAGAGTCTCACTTCATCAATCTGTTGCTTTGTCCTTAAGTTTGGGAAAGTATCTCACAAGCAGTCTCGCGGCACTTAAGAAAGTGGCGTTCCTGGACAATGGCGAGTAACGAGATTCGAGATGTCGTTTGTCGTAGGGGGATTCACTTTGAAATCTGGACTGCAATGGAATATCCGGATTCGGGACTCTACTTCAAGCAAGACAGGTAAGTCGTAGTTTAAGAGTCCAACTCAGATGCAAATATCAAACAAGGTTGACAACTGTAATATTGGTGTTCGGTGTTACCGAGTTACACGCGGCCGTCTTCGCTCCAGTAAACGGTCATACAAGGGCCTTAGCTGCACTCCTTCGATGAAAGCCGGTTCTTGAGAATACAACGAGCCTTTCTTTGGCGAACGGTGCTATCGATAGGACAATACAGAAGGTCTAGTATCAGTCGGCGTAGTTGGCCATGATGAATGAAGCTTTTAGACATCTTCCTACGTCTCATCGATTCCGGCCACGAAGTCTTGTGTGCCCGCGTCTGAAGTGATAGTTTAGAGAATGTTGAATATTTACCATGTAGGCTTTTCAGTCATGTCTGGATCGCTTGACTTCTACTTCTCTATTTACTTGTATGGTGAGAGATGAGCTGGAGTAGATACAGCACTGATGTGGCATATTCTAGAGGCTTTGTCAAGTAAACCTTTGTGTGTAAGGATTGACATGCCAAGGGGAAGTTGAATAACAAGACGTCAGGCTCCTCGGAGTTCTTCACTCCAGTTTTTCAACGATTGGCAGAGAGTATTTACACTGATGCTGTAAAGATAGCACATAGAGCTGAGTATTTAGTGACGAATTGCCTCGAACAATTAAATAGGAGGGGCATACGTGTCTCCCAACGGCCATCTATGAGTTGGTAATTGGGCCGTTCCATTTAAAAAATCTCTTAGTTAAAAGATATTATCTCACACATAGGTTAGGAGGAACTCGTGCGATTGACAGAAGTAACTCAAAAATGAGCATTTCTCCTCAGATGCCGCTTCACTTACACGGAAGGGCAGAGGAAGCCCACTTTATGGGATCGGCGCGTTTGAGTGTGGCCTGTGCGCCCGGCACTTGGAGGGGTGAGCTTCAGCCACGGTGGCTTGACTTTGCGACGACATCATTAGCTTTCCAGACACATGTCCAACAATCCCCGATTCTACAAAACCCTACCGAAATCGAACTCTCCCCCGAAAGTATCGTGAGCCTAAGTAAAGGAACCCCATAGAAATACATTATGGCTCGATTATCGTCGGCGTCACCATTTACCGCCGGCGGCGCATCCCCCGAGAAGGGCGCAGCCGAGCTGAACCAACTCCTGCGACGACTCGACCACGCGATCCTCCATGCCGATCAGAGCCGCGAGCGCAGGTTACGGGCTAGCGAATTTGAGCGAGCGAGATTGAATTCGGTATGGGATTCTTGATGAAGGTCAATACAGCGCGTTGCTTTTGTGCTCACCAGGAATTTCTCACAGAACCTTGAATATGCCCGAAGTCTTCTTACCAGAGTAGAGCAGGAGGCACTGCACGTCAAGCTACTCTCCCGGAGACAGGATATGCAGGTCGACCTGAACCGTAAACGCGAACTTCTCGAAAGGCTGGTGGACAGGATGCATGATCTTGAACAGGTGCGCTCCTTTGACACCCTACAGACGGAAGCAGGGGATGGCGAACTCCGTGGGGCGCGGCTGACACCTGCGCAATAGTTACACGAGGATGAGGATGACAACAGTTCAGATGGAGAGGACGTCCTGGCCGATATCATTCCCACACCGAGCGAGAGCATGGACTCGCGATCAACAGACATACCCACAGACAACACCCCCGAAGACGACGACGATGAACCAGAAATACCTGACCTGCCTCCACCAGTCACAGCTGTTCTCAGAGAACCGTCAGAGGCGCCATCGGCGCCAGCACGATCAGCAACAGAACCATCACCTGCGCCGCAAACACACACGACCCCCGACGCGGGCACGACGACAACGCAGACCCTCCGCTCCCGCGGCCCAGCAGCCCGCCCAGACTCGCCCTCCGCGACAACGACAGCCACAGCCCGCGCAGCCCTCTTCGCCTCCCGCCGCTCCAACACCATGAAATCATCGGCCTCCGGACCCGCGTCGTCGACGGCGACGGCCGAGGCGATCCTGGACCACCAGCGCGCGGAACAGGACGCGCTCTCCGAGTCGATCCTCAAGATGGCCAGCGCGCTCAAGGCCAGCTCGCAGAAGTTCTCGAGCACCCTCGAGCAGGACAAGGGCGTGGTGTCGCGGGCGGCGGACGGGATGGATAAGACGGAGAGATCGATGGACGCCGCGAGCCGGCGAATGGGCACGCTGCGGAAGATGACGGAGGGGAAAGGGTGGTGGGGGCGGATGATTTTGTATGCCTGGGTGTACGGGCTCATGGTGGCCTTGATCCTCTTGGTGTTTGTAATGCCCAAGCTGAGATTTTGAGGCATGAGGTGCGGTAGGTATGAAAAGGCCTAGCACTTGTTTTGCGAAGATTCAGAACGTTTTTGGCAACATGTCTACAGGGGCGTTTGGATAACAAAGGGGGCTCCTTCTCTGAATCGGGTACGAGGGGGGCATAGCATAAGCGGCACTACCAAATGCAAAGATGATTCTGCTTTTTTCTCTCTCTTTTTTTCCCCCCCACGATTCTGCTCATTTTATCCGGAAGTCTGTTGGTATACCAAACTGCCTACCATACCCACCGACTCCTTCACAAACCAATCCAAGCCACACACAACGCAAAAGTCAGCACACCGAGCCCCCCGATGATGCCACCCTGTCCATTCCCCACCGACGCCGACTGTTCCAGGGCCATCGCAGGCGGAGGCGAGGGATCAGGGACCCCGAACGTTGACGTCTTGATTGGTCTACTCGTCGAAGACGCCGAGGGTGTAGCGGTCGTCGGGGTAGCGCAGGGTTTCGCAGACGCGATCTGGGGCCTGGACGTAGCCGAAGGCGAAGAAGACGACGATGACGATGTTGATGATAACGGTGGTAGCGGGTCCGTGATAAAGGTCGGCCACGTATTCGACGCGAGGCTCTGGATGGATTTTGTCTTGAAGTCGGCGCCGAAGCAGGCTAGGCCCGTTCTCTGGCTTTCGCCTGAGCCGCGTGGAAGGGTGCCGCAGACGGGGCTTTCTGTGTTACTTTGCGAAAGGGGGAGGTCATGTTAGTGTGTCCGAGGCTGAAATCGAAAGAGGGGGGCGAGAAGGTAAAGTGGTTCAGCTTTCCGACATACCAGCATAGGGTCCTCTCCCCGTTCTCTGTCTTGCCGCTGCAGACTGGTTCGGCGGGACCTAGACAAGTCGAGTACAGGCTTCCGCAGAGCCATCTGCCCGTGTTGTGGCATGCGATTCTTGAGGTTCCTGTGCCGGCTGTGCAGGTGACTAATGCGAGTTCTGAGAAGAGGTTGATAGGTTTTGCGTTAGTACGGGTTCATTCTTTTTACTTCCTGGTCTGATCCAATCTCTCCCCCTTTCCTCTCTCTCTCTCTCTCCCCGGAGAAAGCATTACTTGGGGGAAGAAAATCCAGGCAGGTGTGAGGTAAAGATTATGAATAAAGACAACTAACCTCCCCCTGTTCTGAAGAACCCGCACGTTTCCTTTCCTGTGCCCTCTGAGATGACCTGCCTCGGGGTCGGGACTCCAGACCGCTGTTGGTCTAGCGGGCCGCTGCTTTTCAACCTGCCGAGCGGGAGACTTGCGCTCTCTGTTGGCATGACGATGGCGAGGGCGATGGGGTCCGCTGTCGTTGGAGACAGGAGGGTGCTAGCGAAAGCGAGTAGAATAGCGTGGCCTCGCATATCGAGCAACGAAGGGGAGCAAGCAATGAAGAAGCCAAGAGACGTACGTGCCTTCAGAAACGGGCGGGCCATTGCGAAGAGGAGACGCGCAGAAGGGCATTTTGACTTGGTTCATATAAGTCAGAAGGCTCTTGGCATCTTTCTGAGGGCGGACTCGGGTGTTTTTGAAGTTCAAAGGTGACTCAAACTGGAATAGAAACGATCGAAGTAGGAGCAAACATGTACGACGAAAGACACAAGCGAAGTGGGTTGCCCTTGCTTGTATTCGAATCGAGACCCAAAATGGGCCAAAACTGCGTCTCTTTGTTCATCACGTCGCTTCCTCTGCCCTCATACGACGCAAACATCTGGCTGAGAGTTTCAAGGGCGGAATATCTCTACTATGTTGCATGGTTCCGAACCTCATCAATGGCTGTCGAGGTCTTGAGCTATGGCCACGTGCTCTTGAAATAGCAATGATTGAACCAGGCGAATGCGCGAGGTGTGCTCTAGCCATCGAAGGTGAAATCATCATGTCACCGAGCTCAAACAGTGTGTAATTCAATCTCGACGTGTTCAACATGGCTAGGCTTTGCGGGCCCGGGGGATATCTATAATAAATTTCTCCATGGGATGTATGTAGCATTACCTGCGTACAGCTAAATACAATATCGATCCCGGTGAGATGCGCGGTAGTACGTTGAGAGACAACAGCCATTAAGATCTGAACAATGGGTTATCTCTGCTTGCAGGACTTACACTTATACCTAAGAAGAAAAACATGATAAAGTCATTCCCATAAGACCGCTTGGTCCGCCAGGGCCTTTCGAGTAGAACCAGATGCTGGAGAAACAGTGAAGTTCGCCAGATCATTGAACATTTCAAATCAGCCCAACTCAGCCGGTTTCATCGCGCTTCCTATAGAATCGTTCGCCGGTGCCTGAAACACATCCCGATGCGCAGACGAGGACGTGGGCGACATGGGCGACATGGACTGATAGTTCCACTGCTCTCCCTCTTTCGGATTCGTCGGAGACACACCCGGCTGGTCGCCGGCGAGCTCGTGGCTAGGGGACGGCGAGACGTGGCCGCCGCCTCTCGATTCTCCCCGGACCGAGGACGCTCGTCTCCGTCTCACGACGAGCCATGTGGCGACGCAGCCGGCGACGGCGAGGATGGTCACGCTGCCGAGGACGCCGCCGACAACGGCACCCGTCTGATTACCGCTGGATGGAGCAGCGCCGCCACCACCGCCGTTGGAAGGTTCCGGCGTCGGTGCGCTCGTCGAGGAGGCTGTCGAAAGTGTCGGACCTGATGGGACGGAGGGGGTTGGCGTGTCGTCTGAGGCTGTCGAGGAGGAGCCTGGCACGGACGTGGTTCGCGTATCTGCTGGAGAAGAAGAAGACGTAGTGGTAGCAGGAGCTGGAGGGAGCAAATTGGTCGATGCGGTATACAGGTAAACGAGGGAATCCCACGGCAAGCCCTTCTCGCGACATCCCCAGAGTGTCTTGTCTTGGGTGCCCTCTTTCCGGCGGAACTCCTGGCAGTCCCCGTTCAAGCTGTTCGTTGACGTGCTATAGTTTTTCCAGATACTATTAGTGTCATCTTCCCACGACAAAGAAGAAGAGGTGAGGCAACATGTCATGTTGTCTTGGGAAGCGCGGGGACGTACCAGCACAATGTATCCCTTCCGCGAGTCTGAGATGGAAATGGGCTGCACATGGAGTGACCGTGAGGCAAACACGCGGTTGCCAAGGCTGCTCCACAGGCTAGATAATCATTTTGTATGGTGCAGCGGGTGTCTTCATCGCAAGTACGTGATCGTACCACTGAGGCAGCCGAAAGAGATGTTCATCAGCATACCGTTGAGACCAGGATCCTCGGATGGTGCTTTTGTCTACCAAAGGCCAAGATTGGTGTTTTAATGGTGGGAATAGAAGAAGGTAGAACACTAACCAAGACCTGTCTCTTTAGATAGGGTGAATAAGCCGCATGTATTTGAGCCTATGGTCACGGCCGTGGTAAGGGGTCTCTGCTCCAGTCTCTTTACGACGGCATTTGAATTCATGAATACCGGCGTCAGCTGCGGCCGTGGCCATCGATTTGCCCTCGGTAGTGCGGGACTGCTGTCGTTGACTCCGAGCTGTGTCGATAGTTCTATCAGGTTAGGACGCCAGAATCCAAAGGTTTCGGCCGTCGGTATACTAGCCGCAACGACGAAGAGCAGAACCGAGAGGGTCTGCATCGTCGGAAGTTTGACCAACAAGAGGTAGTAACTAAGATGATTTTGTTAGAATCAACGTGTTGATGGGGCGAGGGGGGGGGGGGGATGAAGATTTGACGAAAGAGATGGGAAATCGAGGCGGAGGCTGGCAAAAAGGGGTTGCCCTTGATTTTATTCGCAGCTTTGGCCATGCGTCTTTGTTCCTCTCTCAGAGAGAACAGTGACCATGTAAGGCGGAACAGTTTGATGGAAGTGCTGTTTGTGGTATGTTCGATCGCGAGTTTGATCCGAGCTGCGCTAATTTCCCTTCTCTAAGAGGGAGGGTGGTACAAACACGTTCTCGTGGTGTTTGCCTTTATGTTTCTTCCTCATCTGCTTGAGCGCAAACAAGTTCTCATCCAGTCACTCGGTCCTCACTTGATTTTGACACTATAAAGTCCGTTTGGTACTATGCTTTTCTTTGAAAAGTTTGTGGTACCGCATCCTAGGCTGTCTCCCCTTTCCTCCTTGCTTTTGAAAAGTTTGGTCGAGCACTTCCACTTACTTGAACCTCGGAGGTATCGCAAGTCGCCGAGTCTCTACGTCGGTTATTATTCACACGCGAAGGCGACCGTATCTTGCATTTCTTGGCGAAGCGATGGAATAAGTCTAATGCTGTATCACCTCTCTCGCCACATCATTGTTGTTCCTCACAGCCAACCATTTTGTCACCACTCATCAATTGATTTCAACGCAGATTCCATGGGAGAAGATCAAGGAACTCTAGTTCTTGCTACTTCTATGCTATTGACCATGGTGATTCTAGGTCTCCATTGTGACACTGCGTCCTCGCCATTTGACCCGATTCCAGCCATAACCCATCCCATAATACCGCTTCCTTATAAAATGCGCAAAACCCTGAGAGATGAATAGATCCATTGAATTTGAATCGAAGAAAGAGACATACAAGGAACTACTCGCAGAGATCCCGATATGACTCTTCAACTTCAAGCTCAGACTCGGTTCGGTTGACAGAACTGGGATTCTTGGTTACGACAATCTGGTAAGTGTTGGCGCTGCCTTGGCCGAAGATGATGACCATGTAAGCCAGAAAGAACTCGAACGTCTAACAATTTACACTGAATGTCAACAGTTCATAGACCTCAAGACAAGAAGGGGGCTCAGAGAGAAAGAGTTGTGGAAGAAGACTCACCCGGTAGATCTTGGAGCCATACATGGCCACCAGAGCCTCCCGGTTTCGCACAAAGTTACCGTACCACTTCCGGACCGTCTCAGAGTAGTGGCGACCGACGTTTTCCATACGATTGACTCTCAAACCGGCGCTATCGAGCCGTTGGATCAAGGATGCGAGCGAGGCATAGGGAACGGCGTCGAGGCAGACGTACTTGGCCATCAGGAGTCTCCAAACGAGATCCTCGTACTGCCAGGACTCATTCGCGCCCGAGACCTCGAGGAAGAAGATGCCGTTATCGGCGAGCAGGCCGTGAATGTGCTGGAAGAAGTCTGCATACTCGCAGGGACCCATGTGCAGAGCCATGAAGTTGCCGGGGCCCTTGTGCTCGGCCAAATGCGTACAAACAATCTTCTTGTAGCCGCCTCTGATGTGAGGGATATTGGTGTACTCGCCGGTTTGGTTGAGACCAGTGAACGGGACGTGCAGGAAGATACGACGAGCGTAGTTGGCGAACGCTTCCCAGCCGTAGCCGATGCTGAGGACTCTGTCGTACGGGTTGAGGTGAATCTTTTCGCAGATGACGCCGAGCTTGTTGTTCTCGGGCTCTTCGAGAGATTCTTGCTGGTTGGTGTCGCGGACGAGACCGGAAGTGTACATCATCCGGGGTCCCAGGAAGCCGCGGAGTATGCCTAGATCGAGTCTCTCGTGGGCTGGGTGGATGTATCCGTCATCTGGGTACATAATGATTAGGCGTTTATAATGTGACTTGGGTGGGATTAGAGAGAAATTTACCATGAAAGTAGAGATCCTTAACAACCTTTGGGATGAGCTTGAAGAGAGCGAAGTAAATGAAACCGAAGGTCAGACGGAAAGAAGCCCAGTCATGTCTCTTCTCGAGGATAGCCAGGGTGTCTCCGTCCATCTTAACGTCTCCATCGAGGTAGGTCTGGCAAAAAGTTGCCATCGGGATCTTTCTCTTGCCGCGGTACTTGAAATTTGCCGGATGCTTGTAGGTCATGTAGTATTCGATAGGACGACCGGGCAGGACGGCCTCGCTGATGCGAGGGCTGACGGCGGAGGCAATGAGCCAGATGGGGGCAGTGACGGGGACTGCTATAAAAGCGGCCAGAACGAGGTCGATGATGATTCCTCCTCCGGTGCCGAAGGAGAGGTAGAGCACCTGAAGTACGATGACGTACCCCAGGGCTAAGCTTTGACTGAGGGAAGGCATCTTGGCTGTGGTGGGTTGGATGGTAAGTAGGAGGTTCGAGAGATTGGAGACGTGAGAAGCTATTTATAACAGATACCTCTCATCATTGCTTAGTCGCTCGCACGTATTCATAGCATGATACAAGGCTATAACCGGATCGTGACTGATACTAGAGCGGGACTTGGGAATTCTTAACATTGCTCAGTCTTTTATACGTATTCGTTGTGCGATATGTTATTGTTACCGGAGCGTGACTGATTTTGAAGCGGTACTTTAAGCGCCCCGACATTGCTTAGTCGCTTGTGCATATTCGTGGAAAGATAGGGTCTCATCTCGATCTCAAGTTATAAAGCACCTCGTAGGTCTTCAAACATGGTTGAATGTCAACTTTGGATAGATATTCCGTCGAAACGACAAAACTCCTTTGCGGGCTTTCAAGCATACCATGCAACGCTAATCTGTATCAGGATGAAGGGCATTAGTTTGCCAGACTGTAAGCAAGAAGAAAGAAAAGCCAGCCGAATTGGTCAGCAGAATGATGTGAAAGCATATGGCTTTGGAATTAGAAGATTATTTGGCTCCGTGTATTTTGTCCATGCAAGACACCACCTTGGCTTCCTCCTTTTCTCTGACTCTCTCACACACACTTCACAATGCATTCTTCCAGAACTAAGCGCAGTAACTTTCAAGAGGACCAACAGCAGCATAATCATACAATAAAAGTCTCTTTATTGCATTTTGAAAATGCCTATGAATCAACCAATCCCTTCTTCCACCGAATATTTGTTTGGATCAGCTCTCCAAGCAAACTTTGGTTGAGAAAGTACGTTTTGGGGGACGTTGGATGGATGTTGGAAGATTAAAGATGGTGTGGGGATGCAACCGTATGCGGGGAGCCGACAGAGAGGGGGGGGGGGGCTTACCCCAACTTTGGGGGCTATGCGTTCATTTAGCGACTCCAAAAGGTACAAAGAGGCAGTCTTGAGGAGTTGGAAATAGCTTCATTTGATATCCTGAACGGAAAAAATTCCAAAAGTTCTAGCCGCAGTGGGTCGAGCGTCTCTCTATAGACCATCAATCCAAATAGCGCAATCCGCAAGTCTGCACTAGATCTTGTTCCACCAAACCATTTTACCCTATAACTCAGGAGGTATATCCAAAGAACCACATGCTTACACAACTTCAACCTTGCAGATACAAACGTCCCTCCCAGGGCCTCAAAACCGTCTTGCCGCCCTCGGAAGCAACCCTCTCCTTGACATCGTCGTAGTTTCCGACCCGGATCTTGCCGCCCTCGCTGGGTACCTCGACCGCCTGCTCCTCGCCCGTGAAGTTCAGCACCACAACGGCGCTCCGGCCCCCGCGCGACTTCTTATACACAAACGTCTCCTTATTCTCAACATCAAACAGCTCAAACGCGCCGTGCGTGAGAAGATCGCCCTCCTCCTTGCGCAACTTCAGCATCTCGCGCCAGAAGTTCAGCACCGAGCCCGGTTCCTTTTCTTGCTTGGCGACGTTGATGGACCGGTACTCGTCGTGGACGCGCATCCACGCGCCGTCCTTGTTGTCCGTGAAGCCGGCGTACGGCTTGTCGTCCCACTGCATCGGGATGCGCGCGTTGTCGCGGCCGAGCAGGTTGATGCCGTCCATGACGTACTTGAGCATGTCGCTGCCCTCGCCAAATTCCTTCTTGATATCGTCGTAGTAGTTGAGCGCCTCAATGTCCTTGTAGTCTTCGATGCCCCAGCTGCGCGAGACGTTGGTCATGCCGATCTCCTGGCCCTGGTAGACGAAGAGCGTGCCCGTCTGCGAGCACATCATGAGCGCCAGCATCTTGGCCGACGTCTCCCGCCACTCGGGCTTGTCGCTGCCCCAGCGCGAGACAGATCTTCCCTGGTCGTGGTTCTCGCAAAAGGCCGTCGTCCAGCCGTCGGTGCCCTCGATGAATTGCTGCCACTTCGCCACGATGCGCTTGAGCTCGGGCAAGGTCCACTTCTGCGCCTGGTACTTGTAGCCAACGCCCTGGCCGAGGTCGACAATGTCGAACTGGAAGACCATGTCGAGCTGGCGGTCGGCGGCGCTGATGAACTTGAGGACGTGTTTCGGGTCCGGGGTGTGGGGGAGCTCGCCAACGGTGACGGTGTCGTAGTGGTTGAGGACTTTTGCGTTCATCTCGCGCAGAAACTCGTGTATCCGCGGGCCGTTGCAGTAGATCATGTAGGCGGGCTGCTCGTAGGCGTTCTTGTTCATGATGGGGGCGTCGCGGAAGTCGACGCCCTTGCTGTACATGTTGACCGTGTCGATGCGGAAGCCGTCGACGCCTTTGTCGAGCCAGAAGCGCATGGCGTTCTCGTAAATGGCCTCGCGCGTCTCCTCGTTCTCCCAGTTGAGGTCGGGCTGCTCCTTGGCAAAGAGGTGGAGGTAGTACTCGCCCGTGGGCTCGTCCCACTCCCATGTGCTACCGCTGAAGTGGCTTCGCCAGTTGGTGGGAGGCAGGCGGGTGCCGTCCTCGGCGTAGCGGGGTGGCTTCCAGATATACCAGTTCCGCTTGGGGTTCGTTTTTGAGGATCTCGACTCTTGAAACCACTTGTGCTGGTCTGAGGTGTGGTTGACGACGAGGTCGAGGATGAGCTTCATGCCGCGCTTGTGGCATTCCTCAATGAGGACCTCCATGTCGCGGACGGTGCCGTAGGGGCGGTGGACATCCTGGTAATCGGAAATATCGTAGCCCATATCGACCTGCGGACTGGCGTACATGGGTGAGACCCAGACGATGTCGGTGCCCAGGTCCTTGAGGTAATCGACCTTGTCAATCATGCCCTGGACGTCACCGAGGCCATCTCCGTTGCCGTCCTTGAAGCTGGCGGGGTAGATTTGGTAGATGACGGCATCCTTCCACCAGGCTCTGCTGGCGTTGTTCAGAGTTATTGAACCCATACCGAAAACCAGTCTGACAGAGCTGCTGAAAGTCAGTCTACCTAGAGAGATTGCAATTGGGTGTGAAAGAGAGAGAGAGAGAGAGGAGGGGGAAAAAGAAGGGAGAAGGAAGTGGGACAGTAGATATGCTCAGTACAGAGTAGAGGAGCGCAGGGCAGACAGAGCAACACACCAGAACTAGCTTGCGAGCTCAAAAAAGGGTTGCGCACCTGGAAGCTCCTCGCTCTGACTTATATACATACCTACATCCTCACAAACCGGGCCACAGTCGATCTAAGCACGGGGGCGCAACTGTCTTTCCCCGCCCCCTCTCTCGCTCTCTCTTTGACCTCGCTCTGTCTCTCAAGTTGGATCCAAGTCAGAAAAAAAGGTGGTCGAAAGACACTGGCAATAACCGAGGCGGGACACGAAACGTCGTGCGTGTGTGGGCCACGGTGCGGAAGATCGTCCCTCTCGATGACAGGCCGGTGCATGCAAGCGCTGCATGCGGGTGGTGGCCCTTGGTCCTCCTTGGAGTCAGTCCCGAGTTTACTTGCTGCCCGCGCGGGGTGGGCGGCCACCTAATCGTGCTAATTAACTGTGTTTGCTAAGGTGCGCGTTCGACGGCTTAATGGTGTGTGGGTGGTGGTGCGCGCTGGGCCGACCAATGACTTGGCCTGAAAGGAGCTCAATTCTCGCTGTAAAGTCTGGGGAAAATACCATTGGCTCCCCCCGCGCCGTGCGGACTGTTCTTGGAACCATGGTCCATGTGTGTGCCCCGCGGCGAGGTATCCGTTAGTTCTTTGGGGTTGTCGAGTTGTGGTGTGGGTGGTGTGTAGGAAGTAGGTAGGTGGTGCGTGGTGCTGCGTGGTGCTGCGTGTGTATGGTTGTGTGTGCGAATAATACAGGCGAAGAAAAAGAGCGAACTCCACGCCCAACCCAGGGGCGCGGGTTGGGTTAGCGGGTAAGATAGGCGGACGGGAAAACTCTCGCTAAAATTGTAGATCGGTGCGGTGCCGACCCCTTCTTTATTTGGAGAGTTATTGGAGTATTGGAGAGTCTTGGACCTTCTTCCTTGTGATGGATGTTCATGTGCCGTGCCTCTTGTGAGATTTCTGTCTATTAACTAAGCTTACCATCCGGTTTACAAACCTATTACAACTTATCCGTCCAACGAAATCCAACCATCCAACCCAACCCAACCCAGACAAGCTAGCTAGCTACCTTACTACAAGGTCCGTAAAACTTGCGCACACTTACACCGTGAGATGATCCCAAGGATGGCCACACAGCTTGGGCAAACTTTGCGCCGAGAAAGAGTGCTTAACATTGCCACTCTCATCCAAGTGGTGTCATTTACCTCCCACTCAGTTCCTACCTTACTTAGCAGCCCGTGGTTGCTGCCGTGCCGTTCTCCCATAACGCCAAGCCTCCAGATGGACGATGTCTGGAAATCCAAGGAGGGGTTGTGAGACCAACTTCCCGCGCAAAAAAGAGAGTAAAGAGGACCACGTTGTTCCTTCAACCATGACTCCTCTTCACACACACACGGACGCACACGACCTCTCTCTATTCGCGGATGCGTTATCCGCTTTTTGCCTACCGCCTCCCATACCTCCGTCTGATCTACCGTCACGGGAGATTCTCCGACGACAGCTCCGACGACATGCGTCAAACCACACTTGCTCATAATTCTTCCCTCCTGGCCTATCCTCTTCTTCTTTTTCTCGGTACGACTCGGTCTCTCTGCCTCACCTTACCTTACCTTAGTCACAAACAAGTCCGAACCCTATCTCTCCCCGCCCCGAGGTTCAACCGCTTCAGCCGAACCTCCTCCTCCTCCTCCTCCTCTTCTTCTTCTTCACCAGCTTTATCCGGCCGGCTTGTTGAGACGACCGTTCCGGTGGGAGGGTGTTCCCTTATACTCGTTCGGGAAATAACATCAATCCACCCCCAAGATAGGTAGATATACGGCGTGGCAGGGTAACACTGATGAACCTCCCTGAAAGCTTGTTGTCACTTATCAACGACGCCAGACGGGAATATGAACCTTCGCCCTAAACTTTGCCCACCTTGCGGCTCCGCACCTTACCTTGCCGCATGCCACTTTCTGTTTCTCCGACTTCGATCTTCCCTCGCAACCTAACTTGTTATTGTACAAGGCAAGTTTGATGTGAAGGTAACCTAACTGCCCGGCCTCACAACTTCAGAGGCCCGAACCGTAAGCAGCTCAACCTAGCTCGGTTTCTCACAGTTGCTGGGAATTTCTGGGATTAAGTTCACGTTCAGTCCCCCGAATCCACCCACGCGGGGTACCCTACCCTCCTTACCTTAGCTTCGTACGGATACACGTGTGAATGCATTGTAGGGCCGATGATCTAGTCGGATATCGAGGCACCCTATCGAAACCCCTGGTTGACGTCCGGAAATGCTCAGGCAGGTCAGATAGATAGCTGCACCTCCAGGTTCGGCCGACTGCCCGCCGAAGTGGGCAAAATGGTAGTCTTTAGAGTTCCGGATAAGTTTCAAGTCATGTGCCATTTTTGTGTAATTCCCTATCCTATCATACTTAATACTACAAACCGCCAGAATAGACGCAAGACGCTTTTTGGAGTTCCCCGGTTCCCAGGCGAATGAACGCTCTTGGAACACCCTACTGTCGCCTCAAAATAAATGAGCAACCCCTTCGGGCAATTCCGAGCTTTTCCTACTCCTCGTCGTCATCATCAGCATCTGCCATGCTGGTGTCTGCAGCAGGTTGTGTCTTGTCAGCCTCGTCATCAGAGTCTGCGCCCGCTCCATTCTTCTTTGGGGCTTCATCCTCGTCCTCGTCCTCGTCGCTCTCAATGACCCTGCCCCGCCTAGACCGTGAGCTTTGCTGCCGCCTGCTGATTCCGCCATCCTCATCGTCCTCCTCATCGGCGTCTCTGTTGTTGTCAACCTCCATCTTGTCCTCGTCATCGCCGCCCTTGTCTTCGGCGTCAGAAAGAGGAGAGCTGGCCTTTTCGAGTGCCCTCTCTGCACGATCCAAGGGATCCTCGTCCTCATCCTCGTCATCGCTGTCAACAATAATCTCCGCAGACTTGTACTTGCTGTTCACCGTAGACTCCTTCTTTGTAAGGCGGCGCTTCTTCTTTGTTGGGCGTTCCTCGCCAGAGTCTTCACCGTCCGTCTCGGTGGCCTTCTTCTTGCGTGATCCTCTCTTGGGGCGGCTTTCGCCATCGCCCCTTGGCGCCACCTTCTTCTTCCTCTTGACCTTGTCGCCAGTCTCGCTGTCGGTCGTCATTTCGGCTTCCTGTCGAGCCTTTTCCTCCTCGGCACGACGCTCTGCAATCTCTCTGTCCCTTGCCGCGATTTCTTCTCTCTCCCTTCTGATCTTCTCCTGTCTCTCGCGTTGCTTGTCGAGAGCCTGTTGTCGTTCCTCCTCTCGTTTCCGAAGCTCGGCTTGACGCTGCTCGAGAGCGGCTTGCAACTTCTCTTTGTTCTTTTCCTCGTACTCCTTTTGGCTGGCGATAGCTCGCTCCAACTGCTTGCGTTGAGTGTTGCGGGCCATGTTGGCACGCTGCTCGACATCGTGTTTAGGGTAAGGAGTCTGCGGATGGCTTGCGATCTCGTCGAGAGCAGAGATTGCAGATTCAAGCCCAGTTGCAGCCTCTTGAAGTTGCGCCAGCGTCCGCTGGTTCTCATTGAGGGCATAAACGGTAGTTGCCATTTGGATCTGAACGAAGGCCACATTGAACTTGTAGTGAACCTGTTCCGGTGCTGCCTCAAGTGCCTACAAATCATGTTAAAAGCTGTAGATAAGATTGCCTGGAGACGGTCATTTTACCTTTTGTGCGTACTTGAGCGCCTCGTGGTACGCGTCCAGGAGCTTCTCGGATCGGCCCTTGTTGAGCCAAGTACGACCCAGACAGGCGAGAATAACGGGATCGTTACCCTTGCCCTCTTTCGACAAAGCAACCTCGTAATTCTCGATGGCCTTGGAGTACTGCCTGAGCTCGCCATAGATGTGACCAAGGTTGACGTAGACATGTGCATCCTTGATAGTGTCCCGAATCTTGACGAAAATACCCAAGGCCGTCTTGTAATCCTTCTTGTCCTCGACCAACGCGATGGCAATACCCTGTGCTGCGTACGCATTCTTGGGGTCCAGAGAAAGGGCCTTCTCGAAAAACTCAACCGCTTTGCTGTATGTGGCGCTCCTCTTGGCCTTGTCACTGTCGCTTTCACGTCGCATCTCTCGAGCTTGGATCAGGTACAAGTTGCCCATGCCAACCAAAGCATAGCGATCATGCTTATCGTAGTTCTGTAGTGTGTGCTTGTAATGACGGAATTCATGGTCCTCGTTGATGTTGTGTGGGCGCTTTCTAGAGTGTACCTTGCCCATGTACCAGCCGTACAAGGCTCGAACCTCGAGGTCCTGAGGGTTTTCTTGGTACAGCTTGGCAACGGCGTCAGGTCCCTCCTTGTTGGGGTTCCTACGGAGCTTGATATACGCAAGTCTGGTCCTGGCGTCGGTATAATCGTCGTGGCGTTTCAGCAAACCTTCGTATACCTCAGTGGCTTTGTCGTAAATACTTTGTGACTCGTAGCTTCGACCAAGGTTGAAGCTGATCGTGGTGACCAAAGCATCCGTGTCGATCTCTTGGTCCTTCTCGCCAATTTTCATGCAAGCACCCAGAGCCGCCTCAAACATTTCGCTAGCCTGCTCGTGCTTCTCAGACTGCGAGTAAAAGCAACCGATATTGTTGAGGAGCTGCGGGGGAAGGAACTTGCGAAGAGCTGCGCGATTCTCGGCCTCATCTTCGATTCCAGTCGGACGTTCTTCCTCTGGAATTTGGTCGAGTTCTAGCGCCTCGACTTGAAGAAGACACTGCTGAGCTCTTTCGGGGAACTCATGCTCGTACAGCCGGGCCAGATTCAACAAGACCGCAGCGTCTGGGGACATCCCCTTCTTGCTGTCCTTCCAAGCACCTCGCACGCCCTCTAGAAGCGAAATCGCCTTCTTCATCTCGGCCGACTTATCCTCCTTGCCGTCCGCGTCTTCGTTCGCGAAGACTTCTTCCGCGTACAAAGTGCCCAGCAAGATCATAGCTTCGTGGTTCTTGGACTGCTGAATTATCTTTTCCAACCGCAGCTTAGCTTCGCCGAGGTCGCCTCGGAGCACTGCTAGCTGGGCAGCACCGAACTTCGCAGGCATGTAGCCACGCTCGGCACCGCCACGTGCATCGTCAGCTCGCCGGTAGAAGTCACTAGCGCGTTCTGGGTCGCCAGTGTAATGCTCCTTTCTTGCCAAGAGATACCAGCCGTCACTTGCGATCGCATTGACATCGGTGTATTGAATGGCCTTGTGTGCGAGCGAGTCTACAGTGCCGAGCTGTTTGCGCGACAGGAAGTAGCCGGCAAAGGTAGCGCATGTCAGCGGCATGCTCTTGTCGAGCTTGAAAGACTTCTGGGTGTACTCGGTCATTGCTTTCTTGTATAGGTGCAGGAACTCGGGACTGTTCGTAGGGATGCGGCTGCTGGCGTCAAGATGGTAGAGACCGAGAAGAATGTTTCCAACCTTGTGCTCGGGATTGATCTCGATGCATCGCTCCCAAGCAAGTTTAGCATCGTCCTTGAAGCCCAGCTGCCAGAAACAGCAGCCAATGCCTATCCTCGGATCGGGGTCGACGAAGTTGGGCATCTTCTGCAGAACCTCTTGGTAGCTTGCCAGGGACTCCGGGTACTTGCCGAGTGAGAAGAAAGTTCGCGCCTTGCCCATCACCGCGAGCATATTCTTCCCTTGCGACACGCGGATGGCGTCTTCGAAAGCCTTGAGTGCTGATCGCAACAAGTCCGCCTTTTCAGAGTCCACCTGCCCGTGACCTGTTGCCTTAGGGGTCTGCAGAGACGCTCTAAGGAGCTGCAGAACTCCGCGAGCCAGGAACAGAGGAGGGTACGCTGGGTTGATGCGCGACGCATCGTTTAGCGTAGAGGTCGCCAGTTGCAGGTAATATTCTTTCGTCTTGGCTTCGGAAGCCAGCTCGCCATCAGGCGGCACTCTCGGCGCTTCGCGACTCTTCCACAGATACATCCAGCAGAGGCATCCAATCATGCTAAGCTTTTCTCTGGGGTTGTTGTCACGCATCGCGTTTCCACCTCGGACCAGCATCTCGATAGCATGGTCAATCTTCTTCTGCTTGGCGTAGGCCAATGCAACGGTCATCCAGTAGGTTCGAGCGGCGCGTTCGTTTTCGAAAAGGGTGCAGAGTTCGGTGGGATCATCGAAAAGCTCGAGGAGATCGATTTCGACGGCTTCGTCTTCGGCTTCGCCTTGAACCGGGACGTCGATGGCGGCTGGGATGTCAGAAAACCGCTTGCTGACGGGCGCGCTGGCTGCGCCATTGGTGCCATTCATCGCGCCGTTCCTGAGGGCTGACATTTTGGCGGATGGGAGGCTATGACATGCCTCGAATAAGTTTGGTGATGTAGTGGATGAAAAAGTAAGGCAATCTATAAATTCGGGGGAAACTGGGATGAGGCTGAGAAAGATCAATCCGTCGCGTAGTACTTGCCTGCCACGCCTGCTCAGCTGGCCTTGCACATGGGTCCATAAAAGACGCTAGGGGGACTCTTGCAGTGCAGCTGTTGACCAACGTTGATCAAGTTTTGATTGGTCAATCTGCGATTAGATGTCTCAGGTACAGGCGTCACTGACGAATTTACAGCCCTGCGATATGTACTATATACTTTTATGCTCACTTACACGCTCTCATGTCTTCAATTCGCCACGAGATGAGTTATTCTAAAAGAATAGCCAAGCTTTCCGATTTACCATGATTTATTGCAATCATATGTGTGGAAGTCTTGAAGAGTCCTGTCGATCTTCGTTCTATGATACGGCCATTGCGCAGGCAAAAAAGACTCCTATATCGACTGGAATTCAGGCATAAGTTCTGGCTCATCAATACGGGCAGAAAAGAGGTGGAAAACTTCTGGTCCTACCATTTTCCTTTTGCCAAAAGAAATAGCTTAAACTGCCAATACCCTTCAAATACAGAAGTGAACCAGGACTTTGGACTGTCCAATAAGTCAGTGGGGGAAGGAGCAACTGAGGTTGCCCTGATCGACCGACAGAGGCAGGTGCGCCTTCACTGTCAACTTCTCAGCCAACCGGACACAAATTTGATTATTCCACACCACCTTTCACTTATGATTTTAATTTCTCGCAAAGTAAAATTGATCACTATTCGTCTTTTCCTATCTATCTTGTCTCTCAATTGAAAGAGGTGCCAAGCCAGCATTCGACCGCAATTGCGACCATCCGAACAGCTCTTATCCTTCACACAGGTCACCATGCCGGCCATTCCCAAAGCTAGGAAAGACAGGGATGGCGTCCTGGATGATTCTGTTCACAATCGGATCACCAGATCTCTGACAGTGCGACAGGTTGAGGAACCAAGCGGTCCATTGCCCCCGGTATCCCCAGTGCCGCCAGGATCTCCAGTCCAATGTTCTGGATGGGGATGCCTTAGTGAAGCACAGCAGGCTGGGATTCTTGTGACTATTGTTGTGGTATCCCTATCTCTTTTTCTTGGCCTGCTTTCCTTTCTACGATCGAAAAAGAAGCAGGACAATTGGGTTGATGGTGACCTCATCCTTGTCCGGCCCAAAAGACGACCGAGACCCAGAAGCCAAGCGGCCTCTATCAACTCCCAGCCCTCGCGCTTCTTCTTCAGACACGAGGGGCTAACAGCCACACAGCAGCCTCCTCAACTAATGATCGCTCATCCGACAGTTCTTCATATCCCCCCACCTCCTCCCCCGCCACTTCCGGTTCCCTTCCCAATGCCGATGCCGATGCCATTCCGACCACCTCAACCAATCTACCCATATCCGATGGCTTACCAGGCGAGCCAGTACCATCCGATGCGAGAGCAAGCCTTTGGACACTATCAAGTGCCCTCTGCAGTCCCGGCATTCCCGATCAATGTCCAGTACCAACAGCAACCGCAGCCTTATCCTCAAACCCAGCAACACCCTCATCATCCATGGAACCAGGGGCCTGGCCTTCAGCAAAGTGAGCAGCGCTCTCAACAGCCCCCGCGAAGAAGATCGTCACTTGCCCGAAGGCTCTTCAGTCTGTTCAATAACCCAGTCGGTAGAGCGTCAACAATTGCCAGCTCTGACTCGGACTCAACCCGAGCGCCGTCCATACGCAGCAGCCACCATTCGCGGACCTCAGCGACATCCATTGCTACGCCGCCTTCTCCTGAAGTGCGGACCAAGAGGGCTGCAACGCATGGAGCAGACGCGATGAGACCTCTTGAAGTGTCTCCTGCGATTGCCACAGTCCGGAGTGATGACTACATCACTCCTACAACTATGCAGGGTGTTTCGTCAGTCCCAGCCAATTCGGGTAGCGAAGCTCAAGATGAGTCGCGGGAGGGGGCCGCCACCACCGAGTCTCCGGCTAAGAAACAAGTCCAGGCTGAGCCTGTTGATACAAAGACATATCCGACTTCCACACAGAACTGCGGAGACACCGAGACTGGCGGAACCCATCATAGTCGTCCTGTTGCCAAGCCCCTTAAGAGGTATGATCTCTCGACTGAAGTCATGAATATAAAGCTGACGAGACACAGTGCTTTAAAGAATGGAAATAAAGCCGCTGCAGGAGTCAGATTAGGCAACATGGAGAACGATCAGAAGCTCTCGGCCAAAGGAGATAGGTAAGAGGCATCTCAATCTTAGATCTCGATATCTATTGACCTGGCCAGTGTTCACATGGACTTCGTGTCTAGCCGTACTTTTACTCCGCCAATAGCCGCGGAAGCCAGCTCGAGCAAGGGCAAAGAGTAAAGTACTTCTTCGGTCTTGTGACAGAACCGCAAGCTGATACGATTGATAGAGGGCAACGGCAGAGGAAACCTCTCGAAAAATGCAGACCCAAGGAGAACGCAGCCCGCGAGATTAGACGTGATCATCCAGACGCCTCAGTTACGGCTATGCATTTTGCTGAGGCGACGAAGAAGCCGGTACTGGGTCCTCAGAGCAGCCCAATCAAAACAGGAGAGAAGAAACATGACCAGGGCTCGAGTCCCAACCAGCACTTGCGGGGATTCTCGAGTAGAATTGAAGAACTTCGGTGAGCCGCACGAATTGAACCGCTAAAGGATTGGCGAGTGAATACTGACTGATCTTGAGATTCGATATGTCTATTTCTGATGTCACAGAGACCAGCGACTCGCTGAGCGACTACTCGCCGCCACCGTCTCCTCCGAGACCGATCCACCAGGGCGGTGGTAAGTATGCTCCTGAGCAGCTGCGAAGCAAGCCGTCGAGAAGAGCGTACTGAGCTACGGTGACAGACTTGACGACTGAGTTTTTGGCACGAACGGGCGGCGAAGGGGAACGGCTGATCCACGAAAGTGGTTTTCCCTGGCAGGAGTATGGAACAGGGTTCGGACCTTGTGAAGTATCGTGAGCTTCAGACAGCGACCTACTTACTGTCTAAGGGTTGGCGGTTTTGGTCCCGACAAGATAGGTGGAACAGCATGTGTATTACGCCACTTGCCTCACCAAAGCTTGTTTGAACCGATTTAGATAGGTATTGGAGTAAGGAAAAAGGGTTCAGATGTGCTACAAGGATGTAGAGCAATGCAGACAGACAGTTCGTCCATACCCAATGGAATGAGAGAAATTTGTGCAGCTGTGGTTCATAAAATATGCCGAGATGTGCACGAGTTGGAAATCACAGAGAAGCCCAGCGGGGTGCTGACTGCGGTAAAGCAGGGGTAACTTGGTAAGACAGGTATTTGTGTCACTTTGGCCCGTGCGCAATGGAGGTGAGATACCTTGTCCGGGTGCGTACTCCGTACGACAAAAGCAGCAAGCAGCAGGAGCAGGGCCCCCAGGGGAGGTGGCTTCGTCATTGCCTGCTGCTCCGGCCGGAAAGGCACTTGCTGCACCCTGGAGCTCACCTTAGTCCAACCTCGCGCAGCCCCGATCACCTCTCCCCACGCTGCCGCCCGACAAGTCTGCTTGTCCGTATTGTAACTCTCTTTCAACCCGACCATTATTCCGTCAGCCTCAAGCCTTTCACTTTTTTTTTTTTGGGACAGCTTTCAACATTAACCGGACGTTGCGATCATCAACCGCATGCTTGTCGCATGCCGACAGACGAGTCCCATCTATCATTTCCCCCCCTCCTCCCCCCCCGCAGCTCCCGGCTCAGCTGCGCATCCCCGATTGCGCATCCTGTTTGAGACTGCAAACCCTTCTGGACGATTGAATACCGACCTATAGCTTCGTTTGCTATTCCTTCCAATCCGACACCGAAACGATGTGGAACGATGAGGACAATAATCCCTATGCCGAGGGCTTTGACCGGAGAGATAGCCTGACTTCCTCTTCTGCTAACCCAGCCTCTCCTACTACCCGTGAGTGTATGTCGCGATTCTGCCCCCAGCTCAACCCTCGTCGTTTTGAAGATTTCAGAGAATGATGGAAACCATAGATCTGGATGATTCTTCAGACAGTACTGATGCCGACTGGGAGACTCTAGACCAGCGATTCGACATCCCTCAGACCCCGTCGACTACAAGCGATGAGGCGCCTCAGAATCGCTCCCATACCCTCCCAGACAGCGAAGCTGAGAGCAGCGACAATGAGCCGATTGCTAGAGACAGAGGCGATCTTGTCCCGCGCCCCAAGCCCGGCGGCTACGAAAGCCGCGTCGAGCAGATTCTCTGGGAGAATCCGAGCATGACTATCCTCATTACTGATGCAGGAAAGAGCGCGGAGAGCGGTGGAAAATACATTGTCTACACCATCCGGACAGGCGTATGTGGTTGTGCGAAGGATCGCTTCCTCGATAGTTGTGGTACTGACTGTTCCACAGAACCTCGAAGTGCGCCGCCGATACTCGGAATTCGCGTCTTTGCGTGAGGCATTGACCCGGCTGCACCCTACCCTGATTATACCCCCCATCCCCGAGAAGCATACCATGGCAGACTACGCCGCGAACCCTACGAGCGCAAAGCAAGATCAGCAAATTATTGACCTGCGTAAGCGCATGCTTGCCGTGTTTCTGAATCGATGCCGCCGCATGGAGGAGGTCCGAACAGACGGTGTGTGGTGGAGATTCCTGGACCCCAATGCTAGCTGGGTAAGTTGGAAAGATCTGCACCATAATGACCCGGGAGCTAATTCGTCGCAGAGTGAGGTCCTTCACTCCCACCCAGTCGCCTCAGTGCCCAAGTCAGTCCTGAAGGCGCCGCCTTTGGACCCTGCGAACCCTACACCTGCTCACAACTTCCTTCCCGTACCATCAGCTTCCGCTAAGCTCAAGACAACGGGCGGCCCTGGTGTCGATCCCGGCGCGATCGCTGGAACTGGGTCCCATGTCTTTGGCCGATTCCCTCCCGACAGCCACACCCTGAGCGAGCAAGAACTTGACCCTTACTTCATCACGTATGAGGCGTCTATCAAGGAACTGGAGCAGCTGTTGTCGGGCTCTATGGAGAAGGTCAACCGTCGGACCTTGAGCCACCTGTCTGCACTGGCCGCCGATCTTTGCGAACTAGGCTCTAAGTTTAATGCGTTCGCGCTATCAGAACAGGCACCCTCTTTGGGCCCTGCCCTTGAGAGAGTGGGACAAGCGGCCGACTCCTCCTACATCGCTACTGAGGAGCTTTCTGGGTCTCTCGGTGCCAGTTTCGCAGAGCCTATGCGAGAGAATGCGCAGTTCGCAGGGGTTGTTCGCAGCGTGCTGAAGTACAGGGTGCTCAAGCGGGTACAGCAGGAGCAGACTAGCGACGAACTCAGCAAGAAGATTGCGCTCCTGGACCAACTGGAGCGCAGCGAGCAAGAAGCCAAGCGTATCGAGCAATATCTCAGCAGCAGCCAGCAAATTGCGCCTGCGCCGAAGCGGTCTACGAGCCTTAGAGAGGCGAACACATCACACCATCAACGCGAGGGCAGCGCCGAAGACACAGCTTCCATCGACTCCGACTTCCCTCCCACCCACGGTGAGCCGGTCCCGACTGCGACCCAGGGTGTTCCACAGAGAAGCAACTCAACTCCAGGCCATAAGAAGGCCGCGAGCAGCAACTCAATCACGAACAAGATTTTCGGACCGATTCGTCACGCTATTCAAGGTGTAGCTGACGTCGACCCCGAGAGAACTCGTCGTGACATGATTGGAAAGACGCGGGAGAGCATCGAGCAGCTTGAACAAGCCAAGGTGGTTTCTGAGCATGATGTGAAGGAGGCCAGCGCAAGCATTTTGAAGGACCTGAAGAGATTCCAGGGAGAGAAGGAAGAGGACCTTCGTCGTTACATGGTAAGTTGATTGATCAGTAAAGTACTAGGAGCGATTCCGTGCTAACCCGATTCATCACAGCTGGCTTATGCCAAGAGCCAAATTGAGTGGGCCAAGAAAAACAAGGAGACCTGGGAGGATGCCAAAGCCGAGGTCGCCAAGATTGACGAAAGTTGAGGGTATGGTTGGTTCGTTAGGGAGAAAGGGAATTCGCGCAATGATATCAAAACAGACAGGGCTCAGAGGCCACGAGCTGTTTCCAATAATTTGATAAGGCGTTGAGTCTAACGGGTGGCTGACGTGGGACAAGCAAGACTCATTTGGCGTTTACGAGGGACTCGACATTCGTAAAAGTCATGGGATGGTCAAAGGCAATTAATCAACTCAGTTCAAAGGACTTTACTCAAAATGCGTGACGTTCTCCAGTGTTTGGCCTTACTTGGCGATCATTGGCCTCATTTGTCACAGATTTGGCCTCACCGAGCTGCTAGATCTCGCAAGCCTTGCCGATGAGGCTGTAAGAGGTATCTATTTTAGGCAAAGGCTTCGAGTCCTGTGCAGAGCTCATCAATCAATGATATGAATTCTGAGAGACCGCAGAGACGGCGTTGATGCACGGGGCAGTCTTATCTCTATGTCTTATCGATAAGAGGCCGATAAAGCTCCGAGACTTTGATGTCGCGAGGCTACCTTACCTAGTCCAACGGAGGACCGAACCCGACTTGTACTTCCTTCTCTCCCCCTTTTGCGCAACACCAGAAAAAAAGAGGTTCATCCACAACCATGGATGGCGTACAGGGTCCGCCTCCCGAGGGCCCGATTGCCTCGATCGCAGAACCTGGTATCAAGGCCGACGGTCAACTGCTGTTCGACCTGCGCCGCGAGGTCGCCAATCTCTTGCATCGCAACCAGACCAGCTTCCCCGGCGCGCAGCCCGTCAGCTTCGCGCGGAAACATGTCGATGAGTTACGGAATAAAGAGTGAGTGCTTCTTGTCGCGCCGTTCCTCCAGGCTCCTGCCTCTGCACACGATCGTTTGGTGTGTGTCTTTGGCTACCGAAACCCTGGTAAATGGAGGCTGGGAGGAATTGGTGATTCGCAACTCTTTTGGCTGACAACTAGCGCGCTCGCGAGCGCGACAACAGCTACTATGTTTGCGAAAAGTCAGACGGCATCCGGTACCTGCTATACCTCACGGAAGACGAGGGCCGGGAGATCCACTACCTAATCGACCGGAAAAACGACTACTGGTACATCAAGAACAGCAGCTTCCACTTCCCGCGCAAGGACGACCTGACCAAATTCCACACGCGCACGCTCATCGACGGCGAGCTGGTCATGGACGACACGGGTAAAGGGACAAAAGAGCCGCGGTTTCTCGTCTTTGACTGCCTCGTGTTGGACGGGCAGGATTTGATGTCGCGGACGCTCGACAAGCGGCTCGCCTATTTCAACGAGAACATTTACAAGCCCTACCGGGACTTGTTCAAGCAGTACCCGGAGGAGCGGGATTTTCAGCCGTTCCTGGTGGAGATGAAGGCCATGCAGCTGAGCTACGGCATCGAGATGATGTTTCGCGAGATCTTGCCCAAGCTGAGGCACGGCAACGACGGGCTCATCTTCACGTGCGTCAGCAGCGAGTACAAGCACGGCACCGACCCGCATATCCTAAAGTGGAAGCCGCCGGAAGAGAACACGGTCGACTGCCGGCTGCGGATGACGTTCCCGACGGTGCAGCCGGGGGAAGGGGACGAGGAGGCCGAGGGCCCCTTTGTGGACTACGAGGCCGTGCCGCGGGCGGAGCTGTGGAGTTTTATGGGGGACGGGCGGTATCAGTTCTTTGACGACGTGCATATCACCGAGGAGGAGTGGGAGGTGCTGAAGGGTCTCGGGGACCCGCTCAACGACCGCATCGTGGAGTGTCACAAGGACGACCTGGGCCGGTGGCGGATTATCCGGTTCCGCGACGACAAGTCGGAGGCGAATCACATTTCTACCATCAAGAGCGTCATGGAGAGTATCGAGGACCGGGTTACGGAGAAGGATCTTGCGGAGGCGGCTAAGGGGATCAAGGATCAATGGAAGACGCGGAATGCCAAGCGGTAGTCTCTTCATCGTTTTTTTCTTCTCTGCGCAAACAGGAAGAGGGGATGAAGGAAGAAGAAGCAGTTGAGAGATACCTGGTTGGATTCCAAAGGTGGCGCGGTACGGGCAGGGGTTGAAGAAGCATGGTGTGGATGATGTGTGAGTACTGTATGTGTGCGGATCAGGATTGACGAAGGCGTCTTGGTGTTGTGTTTTTCTTGCAAAAAGCCCCCCCAACCAAAGAAACAGAGAATACGGAAGGGAGTTCAAA